CCCAGTCAATCTGCACAGGTTGTAGCAATCCTACAGTGCAGGGACAGTCTTCGGAGCATTACTCGCCGCGTTTATAGGTGATCATATCGACGAAGGATATCTCTCATCATCGCCGTCGGTATATTTTGTATTGGTGTAGCACAGCAGTACTGCTGCAATGCATATTCCGATGCTCATAGCTGGAAGGTATGTTGCATTGTTTCGAATATATTATAGAAAGATGACTGAAGATCATCTAGATTCTTTGCGGGCTTAGGTGTTGGAGTTATATCAGTTCTCGTTCCTTTATATCAATCAGAGATGTCGCCCAAATGGATTCGAGGAACTCTGGTATGCGCATATCAACTCGCCATCACTTGTGGAATTCTTCTCGCGGCTGTCGTCAACATATTTACGGAAAGTATTGATGGACCGAATGCTTTTCGAGTCCCTTTTTCAATACAATTCGTTTGGGCAGGCATCCTCTTCCTTGGCCTTGCTTTGTTACCAGAAACACCTCGATATCTCATTAAACGTGGTCAACATCAGGCTGCTGCATCGTCACTAAGTCGTCTTCGTCGCCTTGACATAACACACCCTGCCCTGGTAGAAGAATTGGCCGAGATTGAAGCAAATCATGAATATGAGTTGAGCTTAGGTTCGTCATCATATAAAGATATTTTCTTAGGATCGCCGCATCTTGGTCGTCGACTTCTAACAGGGTGTGTTCTCCAAATGCTTCAACAATTGACCGGATGTGTACGTATATTCCTCCTAATTGTAAATATAAATTGCTAATCATTTGAATAGAACTTTATCTTCTACTAGTGAGTATCATTATTGTTACTCTTTTGTTACATCTTTCACTTCCGTTAAAATATGCAGTGACTGATCTAGCTCTTTATAGTGGCACAACTTTCTTCAAGAATGTCGGAATTTCGTCACCTTACGTCATTCAACTTATCTCCAACATAGTAAACACCGTCTCAACTCTTCCCGGTATGATTTTAGTTGAATCATTAGGTCGACGTCGTCTCCTCATGGTAGGTTCAGCAGGAATGGCAATTTCTCATTTCTTGATTGCCGCTGTTGGTACTGCAGCACAAGAAGAGGCGAGAGCTGTGAACATAGTAATCATCATATTCGTCTGCTTCTTCATCTTTTTTTTCGCTTCATCCTGGGGACCAGTCGTTTGGGTCGTCACATCAGAAATCTTCCCATTAAAGGTTCGAGCAAAGTCAATGTCAATCTCCACGGCTTCGAATTGGCTCCTTAATTTCGCCATCGCTTATAGCGTTCCATATATGACAAGCAGCGGACCCGGTTATGCAAATCTTCAAGCAAAGATATTTTTCCTTTGGGCTTGCTTTTGTGTAATTGCCTTTATATTCGTTTGGGGAATGGTTTATGAAACGAGCAAGATCAGTCTTGAGCAGATTGATGAGTTATATGAACGAGTTGAGCATGCTTGGAATAGTAATAACTTTGAACCAAGTTGGAGTTTCCAAGAGATGAGGGATGAAGGTGCATCTGCAAGTGGAATTCAATTACAACTACAACTCGCTACTCAAGAAGAACCGAGAAGACGAACGGGTACAAGTGCAAGTGCAACGGGAAGTGAGGGTACTATGTCAGAGGAAGATAAAATCATTGCAGGATTAGGAGATGTTGATTTAAGTTATTAATGACTTTTTAAGGGCTATTCAAGGCTTTGGGTATTTTAAGTATAGTATTATATTATGTTTCAAGCGTCGGAGTTTATTGTTGTTTGGAGTTTTAGGGAATGGATGAAATGGAAGGATGGTAGGATGGTTCTCGTATGAATTGCGTATGGTGTAGGGTGGGAAATGAAATATGGTTGGCCTTTGGGGTTGGGGTTGGGAATTGTGATTGGCAATATTTTTTGGACGGATGGGTCTAACGTATCTACCGCAGGCGAACTTTGGGGAATCCATGTCAAGAATGGGGATGGAATCGGGGTTATACGATGGGGTTTTTATACCAATGCAATGAATGCAATGCAATGCAATGCGTATGAACATATATTGTCCAATAGCAATGTTGGGGCGGTATATATATATATGATATGATGTTTCTGATGGATGTTATTTGGTCGAGCTGATCTGATCTTTTTTATCTGAATGGATGGAATGGGATGGGATGGATTTGAGAATGAGAGGGATGGAGGTGGGGATGGGGATGGAGTGGCTTGGGTGATGGGTTTATGTGTGCGTATATTTGAAAATTTTATATGTATGTGATGTGGTATGATGTGATGTGATAGCTTCTTGTGGTTGTAGTGTGAATTGATGATTTATTTTTTTATGATGTTGATGGGTGTGGATTTGGGGATGTGTGTGAGTGTGAGTGTGAATTATGTTGTTTTCAGTGAGGATTAATAGATGGATTAATAAATAAATAAATAAATAAATTGTTAAAAGGAATGACCTTACACAGGGAATAGTGGGAAGCTGATAGGGCAGAACTGAGGCTATTGTCACGATTCACCATTAGGATTAGTGTCTTGGGATGAAAAGTAATCACGTGATAAGGAGCCCTAGGAGCCAGAAAGCTTCTAGAGGCTTTCTTTGTTGATCATTATATAATTAGAGTAGTTTTATAGTTTAGGAGTTTTATGCTCAATTTAGTTATCAATTAATTTACCCATATTCTACTTGATCTAGTAACGAATTCACTTCCAAATGAATACCAATAATAAAGCCTTAACCCACAACTACTAACCAAACGAAACCTTAGGCAGCCGCTGCCTCCAGTACAGTATCGTTACAGCTATATTTGGCCTTCGATGTAAATCACCCATAATCTTGGTTCTACGGAAGTGCGAAGCTCTCCTACAGAGAGCTTCTCAATCTAGTCCTAATAGGACTAGTGCCCTGTGCACGTGCTACGCAGGAACCATTCACTTTAATATAAATAAATAAATTTATAAATTTTTTATATTTATTTTATAAAGCTTTTTCTTTCTTGGTCTTTTATATATAATTTTTAATTTCTTATTATTATTTATATCACTGGAATTTATATCATTAAGATATATATATCAAATAAATATTTTTTATATTTTTTATTTATAATTGTTACGTCGGACTCCACAAGCCCATTACCACGTGATTCAATCACGTGATAGACCCTACATAATGTGCACGAAAAATAAAGGTTCAACATATTCTTAGGTCCAGGACTGTAACGATACTGTACTGGAGGCAGCGGCTGCCTAATGTTTCGTCTGATTGGTAGTTGTGGATTAAGGCTTTATCACTGGTATTTATTTGGAAGTGAATTCGTTACTAGATCAAGTAGAGTGTCGGGCTTGGTCCCCTAGTATTAGTTTTCACTTCCCCCATTCAAACATTAGAAGATTGAGGCTTTCAATCTCCCCAACCTGTATTAGCTACGGTCGAATAAGGCCAGCTACCCCCCATGTATTATTGTTAGAAGCCTACAAAGCTCCTAGCCGTCTTAGATAGTCATAGACTCAGTGTAGACGTTAATTTAATCAATCAATCAATCAAGTAGAATGTAGGTAAACTAATTAATAATTAAATTGAGTACAAAGCTCCTAAATTACAAAACTACTCTAACTATATAATGATCGATAAAGGGAGCCTTTAAAAGCTTTCTAGCTCCTCAGGGCTCCTGAAGCTCTAGGAGCTTTGAGGGCTCCTAAGGCTCCTTATCACATGATTACTTTTCATCCCAAGACACTAATCCTAATGGTGAATCGTGACAAGGACCTTTCGGGGTCCTGAAGGTCCATAGCATGAAGGTCTATATAGTCAGGACGAATTTCCTTTGTATAGAGCTTCGTGCTCAAGATCAATCATTTAGTATACTCTACTATTAGTTACGAATAGCATATCATTATTGTCATTACTTAAGTCCCTGCTTGACGCCTAGTTATAAATCACCTCGAGAGCCTAGAGCACTTCCACGTGATCTAGACGGCTAACCTCGTAACACTTTGATTTTGGATTTGGATTTGCATTTATAATCTAAATCTTAAGGATTCTTGGTTTTTGATATCTTGATTTTTTGATTTTTTGAATGAGGGGAGGGGAGTGAGGATTTTAGAGTAGATTTCGGGGAGATGCAGAGATAGAGACGGGGCGGGGAGAGGTGGTGCGAAAGTTCTGCAGTAGATTTTTAAAAGATATAAAGAGGTGTTGAGGAGGAGGTGTGATGGGAGGTATGGGGTGGGATGGTGTAGAATGGAATGAGGAGATGAATTTTGGATTGTAGGGGTTGGATTATATTATATTTGTAAAGGTATGAGTTCTAGGTGATAGTTAATACTAATATTACCAAATCATTAAACTTCTTGTTGACAAAGTATCGACGTGATCTTGATTACTTCGTCCGAAAAGCTGGGAGTCTGGACTAGCATATATAGTCAGTCAGAAGTTGCCATGGAAAGACTATCTATCAGTCCCACTGGGGATTTATAGATGATAAAATGGAGAATCTTCAACGAATTGAAAAGGTCAAGAATGTAATTCGTATCTAGTCTCAGAAGAATCTTTTTTACTCATATGAATGAGTATGGTTAACTATCCATGGTGGATTTGAGACTAAAATTAAACTTCTTGCAGTAATCAAGCTTGACTTCATTGCTTCTGCTTATCACCATCCTTGATAGAGATCTCTTCACCAGGTAGTATAAAGCAATCAGTAGATATTATCTGTGGAATGGAAATAGAGTAGTCACGATAGTATGAACATCATACCATTCACCCATCTACTCCTCAGATGAGAGATAAAGTAATCCAATGAAGCAATAGTATATAAATAAATGCTAACAGAAAATGTTGGATTTCAATTTATATTGCTAGCCTCATCTCATCGCGCATGCGGCAATGCTCAGAAGAGAGATTCAATAAATCGTAAATGTAAGATTTCCAGGCCGTGCATACAACACACTAACCAAAAGTACCGACTAGCTCCGGGTATTCAGTCCCTTATCCACTAGGAGTAGTAAAAACCAACCACTTAAATCTTCTCATCCCACAATCGACATCTAATTCACATTTGACTATTTCCTAATTCGATCTAGTTTTTATTTTCCACCCCCAAAAACTTCATCCCCGCAATTTCATTGGTTCCATCCTTAACTCTTCACATCAACTTGCAGGCTCGGCGCTTAAAAACTGCTCTTCTTATCACTTTCTCATTGGTAGTTTGTGTTTCTTCCCTCCCCTCCTTCACATCTTGTGCTCCATACATACGCATAATGTGCCTTTCCGTAATCCGTTATATTAATAAATCATGGGCGTCCGGTCCGTTCATAAGCTCGTCAAGAAAGATTTCTATCTGACGGTGCTTTCTTGAACTTTGAAGAGACGATTCTTGCTTTCTGATCTTGTCGATGTGAGATCATCACCGAAGAAATACTGTATATTCACATACGTTACTTGATCGCTGGCGATTGATTCATATAATTACGCAAACTCGGATCAAAGTACATCTATCTATCCAGCCTATTCATCAGTTTATAATATCACCGTCTTACGATAATCCTACACCTGATCCTCTTCTCCATCAACAATCTCTCATACCTTCAACATGGCATTCGCATGGCTCTCCTCACCAATTATGAAACGCAAATGGAAATATCCTAGAGTTATCATCTGGCTCAATGTAATCGAACTTGCCGGTACCATCGCAGCACTCGTCATGTTCGGTATCGCGGATCCGGATTTGTATCGGACGAATTTATGGCAAATTGGTTATGATAATGGGTTTAATAGTAGTCCGGCTGAGATTCTATATGCTTACGCGAATTATCGACCAATACCAAAGATTGCTTTTGTTTGGAGTCAGACGTAAGTTTAATTTCTTGGTCCTATGGGATGAGATGATATGCGATAGATGAGAGGAGTATGAGATGAATATAAAGCTAATTGAATAACCGTTTTATAGATTGCAAAATTTCAATGTCGGAATTTCCGTTCTTTCTATGTTCATACAACTTTGCAAAGTCGTCATGTTTATTATGCATGTTTGGTGGCCTCTTCTCTCGACCATTATCAATGGACTTCTTACTATCTGTTGGATTGTCAGTATATACGGACAAGCCGGACCAGATCATACTGATCCAAAACATCCAAGTAATGTAGCTTGGTATATTGCAAAGAGTTGTTCATATGCCCGACCATCTGGGAATGAGCATTATTGTCACTTGGCTAAAGGAACTTTTGCCGTTACAGTTTTTATGATGTACGTCATCCATCTGTATTCTCATTCCACACGTTCAAAATTTAACAAATTATTAGGATCATCTACTTAGCCAACACAATCCTCGGTATTGATTCTCTAATCCCTTCACGCTTGGAACGATCAATCAATGCCCTCGATCTAGAAGATAACCTTGTCTCGACAAACAAAGCTGGAAAGAGAGTAAAGACGACGGATTCTCCAGAACCGGAAACACCTTGGGAAATGCAAGATATGTCACAAAGTGCAGATCTCTTGAAACAACCTTTTACCCCGAGAACAATGGCTTTTAAATCTTTGGATAGACAATTACCATTAAGGGCTACCTCGGCTCCGAGATATGCATAAATTTTCTGTTCATTATGGGTTCGGGGTGAGAGTTGAAGATGTCGTCAGGTGTTTTATGATATGTCGTGAAAAATTGGCTCTACTGAAGGATTTTTGGATGATTATCATTATCAATATCAATGAGGCAGACGAGACTATATTTTTAGGATGATTTTCTTTCTTTTTAAATGAATCAGGATGGTTAAGGAATGGATTTATGGAAAGGGGAATGAAAATATTAGCAGGAATGACTGCGGAGTAGTACTCATCAGTACTCACTCATCATTTATTAGGATACCAAGGGAATGAATGAATGAAAAGGTTTTTGTAAGGATAATGTAAGATCTTAGTTTTATTTTAATTCTGTTTATGAAATAAAATGAAATGATGGGTTCGGGGGATTTTTATTGTGTTTATATTTTCGGTATTATGTACAGGTGCTAGGTAGTAGGGAGTGGTAGTTCCCTATAAATTTTATAATTGGGATGTCTAAATTTCTATCTTTATGATTTTTGCTTTTGTGTGAGTTCGGGAAGAAATTGTTATCGTGTAGGTAAGTGGAGTTTGAGATGGTGAAGTTGTTTGTGAGAATGATTATGAAGTTGTGAGATTTTGGTGGGAATTTGATATAGGATAGATAGATAAAAGGAATATAATTTTAATATTTCGAGTCTACTTCACAAGTTCAGTTCACCAGTTTCAACAACTTGATACCATATCAGCAAGTTCAAACTAATTCATTTATTCATCCATTCATTATAATTATAGATATATGCTGTAATTATAGAAAATCATTCATCCCTAAATTAAAATCAAAAATCCAATTCGAGATGTAATTAAATATCTAGTTATCTAAATACTATCTGGGTATGGGTAGAATGAGTAAAGTAACGTTAATTAATGATTTGATTTTGAGATTTTGAGCCGTATTAGGCTGGAATTTTTAGACGTATGTGTATGTATGTATGTATGTATGCTGGGAAGATTATGTGTTTGTTGGGTTTGAGGAGGTGTGGTTGAGTAAAGAATGAATAGATGGTTGGGGAGTTGGAGAGTTGGAAGGTTGGAGAATTGGAGAATTGGAAGGTCTTAGATGTTCTCGTGAGTAGGAGATAGTTGTGATGAGGTTGGCTTGAAATATATCAACTGGTTGCTTAACCAAATAAATAGATGGAATGTTTGTGCAAGGAGGCAGGTGTTGGTTGAGTTGCGAAGTGTGAAATGCGAAATTTGTCGATGTCTTTCTGTGGATATTCTCCATGGGCTGTTCTTGGAGCTGAGAACTGTTTTGTCTACCCAGAGAACAGCTGCTGAAAGTCTGAAAAAGTGACAAAGTCTGGTACTTTTCAGTATCTATGTAGTTTCGTATCCGAAAAATTGTAAGTCTTACTATCCAGAAGACCAAGAAGACCAGGTAGAAATAGTGAAGATCAAACAATGTAAACACCAACCGACCAACCATATCAAACCAGCAAATCTACCGACCTCTAGAGGTAGCAGGTTGACCATGAGCATTAATTCGATCTTCCCTGAAACAATCCCATTCCTTGTCTATTCTTCCACTCTCATAACCTTCTTTATCCTGCACAGTGGCAGCTCTAATACCATAGGCACCTCTCCTACCCAGTGCCTGATGATTAATAGGTCTTTGTACCTCATCTGTTTCATGAAAGATTTGGATACTCTCATCATGGCGTCTTTTCTTATCCAGGAGTCTTGCCAGTTGTCTGACATGAGAACCTTGACGTTCACACTTGAAGACACGGAGAAATTTGAGAAGATTGTTAGTGTTCCAATCTCCGATGATTTGGGAATTGGGTACGGTGAGTGAACGATCCCAACACCATGCTTTAATAATGGTGCGTTTTTCTTTTTTGTAGTGGTCGTCCTCCATTTTTAAATAGTCGAACAATTTGCATGCTTGACACGTGGGATTGTCTTGACTGTTTAATTTAAAGTTGCGAATCATCTGGTAAGAAAACCAAATTCCAGGAAGTAGTTGTTCACAACTGGGACATCTAAAGCCTTCTACCATCCTAAAGAAATGGTGTTAGTATGATCGTATATGGGGGGAAAGGTATTGAGAAAAGAGAAGTGATGACATACCATTGCGAACCCTCTGGTTTGTTGGCGACTTTACCAGGTACAGATTTTCGAAATTTCTCAACATCTCCATGAAATTCTCTGTATGCAACATGAACAATAATTTGATCAATCCTAGCATCTGGATCCATGAGAACTTCCAAAGTTTTTTCCACAGCCAAACAAGGTGATTTGTCCAACCATTGTCTAAGCATGGTATGTTTAGATTCGAAATCAATACCCTGAATTCTCGCCTGATGAAGAAGACCATGAACTTCTTGCCAAATAGCGATTCGAATATCAGCAACTACCATACCAGGATCATCCCAAGTAACACCATATGAGTATTGTTCTCCTAATCTTTGTTCACCTTTCTTCTCCCCAGCATGATGTGTTGAGTAGGGACCGACATGATATGCAGGATAAAAGTCTAAAGAGACTTGATGTTCGCAACCTCGAAGACGATCACGTTGAATAATGTTGAGAAGCTCTTGACCATCTCCAAGGTGAATCAATTCACAATTGTGGACCCCGAGAACACTGAGTTTGCGCATTTCAGGGATAATTAATGCGAGGATATGAGTACTGAGGAAAGGAACATGATGAAATTGGATATTCTGTAAGAATTCGCTGAAGTTATGCATGGCAATGCCTGATGGAAGGTAAATTAATTAGTGATCCGATTGGACAGAGGGGTGAAGAAGAATAAGACTTACACATCTTGTTCAAGTTTTTGACTTGGTTAATGTACTTAATAGGCTTCCCATCTCTGGTAGGGGTGACAATTACGACTGACGCAGCAGCCGCCTCAAAGTTATTTTCCTCTCTTGGTATTTCACAATTTTCGAAATTGCCCCCAGTGATATCCCAAGTACCCTAGAAAGATCAATGGTCATGTAATATTTAGTTGATTAGAAGGACTCACAGTGACACCCATTAAGACATCCCAAGATCTCTGACTAGTTCGACATAAAGCAGAAGCAGTGCTATGGTTTTGCCAGATCAATTTGAGGAGTATATCATTGAGACCCTCCATTTGAAGTAATCTGATCAATGCGCTTTGATTTTGATCATTTTTTGGTTGCTTGAAGATGTTGTTCTTATAGTTAAAAACAAATAATCCCTAGATTAAGCAGTTAGATGAGATTTCTTCGTGTATTAGATGAAAGATATTACCAGTGAAGCCAACTTGTTGAATCTATCCTTTTCACCTATGAATGGCCAGTTGACCAGGGTGGGAAACTTTTCTTTTGGCTCCGTGGAAATCTCTGCCGTCGTATCTGCCCAAGGATTCGGCTCCTTAGGATCTTTCTCTATCACTACCTCAGGTTCGACAACCCAACCAAGGTTTCCAACAACATCATTATGACTTTTTTGTTTGAAGGATGCTGGAGATGTAGCAGTGGCTAACACTTTAGTCCATGGGCGTGAGCAAAATAGTGGAGTGAGCACAGCTATTGCACTTTTTTCGGTGCACCATGGAAGACTTGGTTGGAGCGAAGAGTCACCTGCCCATATGGGAAGAGAAGACCATTTTGCGTTCTCAGGTATAACAATCCAAGATCCAAGATCCAGTTCAGAGGTATCTTGTTTGATACTGCTATCTCTGGAAGGAAGAGGTGGATTTTCCCAAGAGGATCCATTGGCAGGTACAGACCTACTGGTATGATACTTTAAAATAAATGGCTTGAAACTGGGAACCAAAGCCGAACTGGAGACAATTTTAGTCGGATCTGTGCGAATACTAACAGGATTTGCAGAACTACCACTAGTATCTGTAGTATCACTGGCAGTCTTTGAGGAGCTACCACCAGTTTCTGATTTTTGAAGTGGCTGAGCATCTGTGGTGACAGTAGGTAAGGAAGGCCAAACCCATGAACTTATCCCATCTGGAGCTGCAGGAACAAACAGCTTCGCTGGTTGTTTCCAGATTGATCCTTTCTTTGAGCCAGATACACCACGTGCGACCTGTAATTTTCCGCCATTATCTTGAGCCTGATTGGCCTTGTTGGTCTTGGATTTGACTTTCTTCCCCATGATTAATGATATCTTGAAATGCTATCGAATGTTAGAATAAAATGGACTTGACTAGGTAACAGTGGCCAGAGAGTAAAATAAGTGGGAGTTATAATAAATGATGAATCTCCTGAAAATGACAGCGTAAATGAGGAAGAGTAAGTGAACATGAAGAAGTGGGATCAAGCTGAAGGACAAGCAAACTTTTGTGATGACTTACAAGTGTTCTAGTTTAATTATATGCAATGCATAGAACTTAAGACTTGATAAATAGAAGATACTTGAATATTATGTAAGTATAGCGGGAGAAGTCAAAGCCATGCACATAAATGCTATGGGCTTTGTTGAACACAGCCTATGAAGGTTATTAGCATTAAGCTTTGACTTTTGAAAGTTGACTTGAAGATATAGTGTGAGATATTGATGATGGATTCGGAAATGGTCTAAGAAAAGAGTATGCTCCAGATCAGGGCCTTGGAAGAAATGGTAGTGCCTGAGGAGGAGGATAACAGAACGAGGCAATCAGGAGAAGGTGTATCTCGAGAACACTTACAATTTGTATGTAGTTTGTAGTAAAGTTCTTCTCCAGAAGCAAAAGTGTCCCAAGTAAAGAGGCCGGGTTAAATTAATGTGACTCAAAGAAGGTAGAGTCAAGTTCTAGGCTTGTGAGAAAGGAAGAAATCTAGGAAGCTAATAGAAATTTCTTAAATGAAAAGTGAAGCGCGTATTGATAGGATTTATTTCAAGGAAATGTCAAAGAAAATAGCTAGCAAATGCAAGAGAGCGCAGAAGTAATAGCCAACCAAGTCTTTAAATATCAAGGAGTTGTGAAGTTGAAAACGGATGAAAGTTCGAAGGCAGATATTGAAAGATTGAGGTGGGAGATGCGGGTTAAAGAGGAGGAATATATGGAGAGCTAACAAGATGGAGAGTTGAAGAGTTAAAGACTTGGATATATAGAGAAGGAGGGACTGTCGGATATCAGATCAGATAACCAGATAATTGGGCCCCCTTAGTGATTCAAGGAGGGGAAATAAGGCCATAGACCAGTAGGAAATAAAGGGCGGGGTTGAAATTGAGATATTATTGGGTTTCTTGAGACCAGAAAGAGCATCAGATTGAATTGATTGATTCTCTAGCTAAGCAGTTAAGCTGCGAGTATATATTCAAAAAATGAAGGAATAAGGTTAGGTATTCAGCCTTCGGAATTAAAAGTGCTATGAAATCAAAATATTGAAAGCAAACAAACAGTATACCAAAAAGGAAAGAATGAATTAAAAGTTGAGTTTTGTTTGCTCCTTATATGCATCATGCAATATATATGCATATGCTGCCAAGATCCCAGGAGGTCAACAGATATTAACAGTGAATGTTATTGAGCGTGAAACTTTCTTCTTCGAACACTCGATGAATAATACCTATATCAGGAAAGTCCGAACATCTAAATTGCAGGAATGAAGTAGAAACAGACGGAGATGATATTCAGAATTATTCATTATAGGATGATTCACTGATGATATCGATGTTGAGCAAGAAGAATTTGATAAAATCTCCTCAAAGTATTCATTCAATATAGAACAATAAAGCAGTAGAAAGATGGTATTAGATATCTTTACTATTTTGATGGCAGTCATTCAAAATATACAGCCCAAGAGCAGACGCAACAATTCAGCAATTAGAAGAAATATATATTCTCATTTCAGCTATCCAACACCTTAAAAGAATCACTTTATGATTTTTAATTATCATTGTTGATCTGTTCCTGTCAATTTATAAAAGATGTGACCAAAAGGGTGTTTATAGACCAGCAATTGTATTTAACTTAGAATCTACAGGTGAAGAGCACCTGTAGATGGGGATAGCTACTCTATATATACACAAATGAATGGCCTAGCCGCAATGGCTAGGCAAAAAGAAGTCATATTTATCCCTTCAATGATCTTACTTTACCAATAACCATTGATACCTAGTACTTGTCCGGATCTGATCCTCAGGTCACCTAAATCGTGTACTAATCCCGAGTAATCGTATCATGTGTGGACATGGTTAATGTACCTGAGGTTTCTTATATAATAAGGGTGGGAGGAAAGCAGGGGTTTCCGTCACAAAAGATTACATTCAAATATATAAACTTTTTCGTCTATAATAGAGTAAAGACTTAGATAAAAGTGTAAAACTAAATATAATCATTCTTTTAAGCAATAATTATATAAATCAATATTAACTTTTTGAATAAAATTATAATTTTAATTCTAGAATAAATTAAAATAGAAAAATATTATTTATATAATATACAAATTTTAAAGAATAATAAATTATTAATTAATAAATTCTAAAAACAACCTCATTAATATTAATTAATAATTTTATTTAAAATAATATTGATTAAATTAATAAAATATTATCTTATTTAAATTCCTTGAAATGGTTATTATATTAGATTTTATAAATATATATTAATTATTAATCTAGAACTATCTCATGAATATCAAGTAATCTTACTTGTAAAAGGCAAGTACTACTTGTATAGATTTTGGGAAGTATAATGGATTTAGAGAGAGAATATAGAGAATAGAAGGGATAGAGGGGATGAAAAGAACAGCAAGAGCAAGAGCAGTAAGAATAACAAGAAGTAAAAGATCAATAATGACAACATAATCAACATCAACATCAAAACAAAAACAAAACCCAACACCGAACACTCAAAATGCAAACCACGAAAACCCCTCTTTCAATCATAATCATAAACCTCTGCCTTACTTCCAACACAAGCGTGAATAATCACATGTCTACCTATCCACTCCTCACTTCTTCCCCTCAATACTTCGTAAGTAAAACTTCGAAGCGAAGGATGCGCGGTGCATTATACAACACTGTGTTGTAGGATTAATAGTATAAAATTCGAGTTATGTTGAAATATAATTATTCCTCTTTTATATTTGGAATATAATCTTATATATACTTAGTACGGAGCATCTTCTTTTTGGTAGTGATGACCCCTCCTCTTTCCTTCTTTTCTTTTTCATATAATCTTACATTTTCTAAAAGAAAATTGATGATTAGGTATTAGATATTAGATCTTCTTTATTAATACTAATACTAATACTAATTAGACAGATGTACTAGGTACTAGATAAAACTGTATCCGGTGTAGCTGTAGGTATGGGTGTAGTGTAGAAATGTGCAATTGGTTGTAGAGTAGTAGGAGGAGTTTCTCTGTATTTTTTTTTTATTTTTTTTTGGAAGGGGAGCAGAGAGAATGAAGGTGGGAGGGAGGTGGAAGCAAGGCGGAAGGTGGAGGGATGGGATGGGTAGATAATGTAGGTTAGAGAGATAAGGTTCTGGCTGGATTTAGGATGGGTTGTTGTTTATTAGATATCTAGTATTAGATAGGATGGATGGATGGGTGGATGGATCGTGTGACTTGTGAGGATATGAGGATGTGATATAGTTTGGTGATGTATAGTGATAATACAATAGCATACTAGGGAGATAGTTTGGAAAGTTGTAGAATTTTAAAAGAGGGCTGATTACCTAGGTGTTGTTTGTTGGTGGGTTTTCTGGATATGGATATGGATAACGGTTGTACGTAGAGGTACCTAGGTAAGGTTATAAATAAATATCTGCTTCGTCATCATTACCGTGAATATATCCTCAAAATATTTGTAAGTATCCTCAATCGAACAAAAAGAAAAGAAGTTATCATCAGACTCAGCGTGATAACCCCCCAAGATAAAAATCTAGTAGATACAATATATAAAAACATCCTCACTCAAAAACCTAGTACCATTAATACCCCCTCCCTCCCTTCCACCAATATTCCTCTCCCTACGGAATAATCAAATGATCATCAGACAATACATTCGTACCACACATGTCGGTAGGTAAAGAAAGCAGAAACCTAGTAAGACTTACATATATATCCCCATATAAAAAACTGGGGATTAGTGAAACATTTAGAACAGTCTTGGAAGGACCAATAGTATCTTTTAGTGGGATTGAGATTGGGATTGGGATTGGGATGGAACGAATAGAATGAATGGATGGATGGATGTAGGGAAATTGGGATGAGTGAGGCTCGTGTTGGGGGTGAGAGAAGGGGGGATTTTCTTTAGGAAAATGTCTGAGTGTTTGGATTTCTAGAAGATGGGAATGGTTTTGGAAGGGAGAAATGGATGGAGAGGATTTGAATGAATGGATGATTGATTGATCAAAGATAGTAAACTAGATACCTACTTACTCCGTACAGAGTAGAGTATACATTTTTGATCTGCATGAAATCGTATGGTGTAATTGAATGGTGATAATGATGATGATGTTACCATGCATGTACCCTAGTAAAATCAACATATCCCCACCCCCCTTTTACAATTGGTTGGGTTGGGTTGACTGAGCTTCCTGGACCAGAACTAATGGATGAACAAACAAAGACAATAATGAGTGTGTGTACTCTGTAAATCGTAAATCCACCTCGAATGAATGCAAATCTTCGAACTTTCTACCTATTATAATCTACCTATATCTAAGATTCTCTCAAAAAGGAGAAAGCCATCTATCCATCCATCTATCTATCCATTTATGCTATAAGCAAAAACAAAAAAAGTGTTGAACATACCTACCTACATACATACAATATTTCCCAATTAAAATTAAACATCAAATAAGTACCTATCCCGAGTAGAATTCTGAAAATCATTAATTACAGCGTACATAGAAAATATTGACACAGACAGACCAAGCTTAAATAAATGTATGTCAAAGCTTTTTCTTTCTTATCTGGGTTTTTCTAATCAGGGATAAATGATGTTGATTGATTGATTGATTGATACATAGGTACATAGATAGGTACATATATACATGTGGTTATTTGAGAGAAAATGCTCGGATGGCTTTTGTAGATTGTGAATTCTTCTTCTTCTTCTTCTTCTTCTTCTTGTCATGAGTGGAATAGGGTTTTTGTGTATTAGGTAGGTACCTATATATAGTAGGAATGTATACGTATGTATGTATGAATAAATAAAGAAATAGTACTTTATTAGTACAAGTTACATATGTTTGTATGTGTGTATGACGAATATCATGCCATAGAAATACAACAAGTAAGCTTTGGCAGCATGCAGCTACCACCATATCTATGTATGTAAAAGTTCTAAAGTTCTGAGTTCTGATAATTAGGTATACAGTGTACAGAAACATACGAAAAAAGGGGGGAGAAAGAAGTCAAGAAAAAGCACTAGAGTGGATATGAAGGCCATTGCGCAGTCCAAATTGTACCAGGGGGGTAATTTGGGACGAATAGGGAGAATGCGCTTTGTTAATTTTGTGCTCTAAGCTCGTGGTGTTCTGACCATGTGAACAATTGTATACAAATGTGTTATGCATGTCTGGCATTTTTAAGTTCTGGCTAGTGTTGATGTATTATTGATGTATTGTACAGAAGTACGTACAGATAGGCGTGCGAAGATAAATTTATTCTTAGGATGTAGTTTCATTATTCATGTTGCATATTTTAGTTTACTTTTGTCCTGCATGTTGTGCTGCATGCTTATGATTGATAGATTGGATTGGACGACTGGATTTGAATTTGAATGCCACGAGAGCCACACATCCATCACTATGTCGGCATTCAAAGTAAGACTAAAGATCGCCCTACCTATTGATCATGCGAGCATAAATCCTAGGTACCCCGTGAGAAAATATGCTCCGATTTTGTGTCTGTCGATACGGGTTGCCTTAATTGGGTAGAAGATTGTGGGATTTCGATCGATCGAGTGATGGATGGTGTATGAATGATTCGTTATGGCGTGTTTACGATACACAGGTACTTGTTTGATGTTTGGATGTTTAGAATGTGTAGTGTGGTAGGTATTGGGTAGATGATGAAGCGAAAGAAGGAAGTTTATATTCTTGATACGCTGTAAGATAAGGAAGGTGTAACATATCGGAAATGGGCTTTCCTAGTAATATGTAAGTCTGCTGGGTGTTGGGATATTATGTTGCCCACATTAAGATTGTTGATGAAACTCTTTATGCGCCAGCATAATCTATACACTACAACTACACCACACCACATCAAAAAACATACGTACATACATAATCTATCTACCTGCCTACCTTGGGATGAATGGATGGGATGGTGTAGTGATATGAGGAGATGATGGGTAAGCGTGTCGTTATGTTTAAAGGATAACATATTTTTCCAAATTGAAGACTGAAGATTCACCCTATTTGAGAATCCGAATCCGAATCAGAACCGAGCATCGAGATGAAGATTTAGAAATATGGAACATTGATAGAAGACATTCAAGAACCAGGAGAAGGGGGATTAATATAAAAAATACAATATATCTCTGGGTGGCAATCGGAAAGTTAATCATAAACATGAACATATCCATGAAACTATCCATGAAAAGATATTGATTCCCATTCAAGTCCTCAATCAATTTCATATGAAGAAGAGATAAAAATGAAATCCACATGAAAGAGTTGGGACCCATTTTATATGATCCGGGTTTTATCCATAGGGAGGGAATCGAAATAAGAGATGAAGCTTTCGAGAAGGGAGAGAGAGTAGAGAAATGATACTTTCACTCATTGACTGTTGCACTGACTGTATTGGAGATTAGGTAGTCAGGACGTACTGAGTAGAAGTCTTTCATTAGCAAATTACTTTGAACGGATGAATATTGAATTATAGAGAATAGATAATAGAGAATAGAGAATCACACAATCATACAATCATACCTCCTCAGTAAGGAGGGCTTACCTAGAACTGTACGTAAATTAAAATCGATCAAGTGATGAGTCATGAGAGATCTAGAAAAAAGAAAAGGCCCTTTCCACCCCTCAAGGTGTGAATGAATTACAATTTTATAATTTTATAATTACTACTCTATGGTACTATACCCAGGGACTATCTCTATTTGAACATCACTACATCAAGCACCACCACCAGCGAACCAAACATCAGAGCTAATCTTTTTTTATACGGTCGTCCATTTCCTATAGTTTGACTTTTAAGTGGGTCCTCGGATGGTCCCTGCACGCTTTAATCAAGTGAGATGGCCCACTGGATGGTCCACCAATGGTCCACCAGTCTTGTCTGAGTGTCTCTTTTTCTTCTAGCCTATAACCTTAAGTAGTTACCGTGCCTACCTAATTTCGCTAGTCCTCTAGCTTTAACGCCCTTGCAAGTCGTGGTATTAAAGTAATAAAACCAAATCTGCCCATAAGTGAAAATCAGAAGAAAATTTCTCTTCATCTTCCTTCCTTCACAACACTTACTTGTCATTTACTACTTACTTGTCACTTACTTGATCTTATAATAATAAACTTTCTTGCCACGACTTTATTCTTCCACCTCAAAGGAATCTTCTTTGTTTACTTCTTCATCTCAAAACGGAACTTACAGCCATCCAACAAGCTCAAGTTTCTTCTCTCATCATATAATCGAGCAACAACAAAAGAATATTTTAAATTCATTTGATTTGTTTTTTACTCCAACATGTCTGAAGTTCAAAAACCTACCGTCGAGGAGCAAGTAGTTGCCCCAGCTCCAGAGACCACCATCCCACCCACCACCACTGAAGCACCAGTTGTTGAACCTGTTGAAGAGCCAAAGGTCGAGGAACCAGTTGCTGCAACTGAGCCAGCTGTCGAAACCCCAGCTGTTGTTGTTGAGGAGCCAACTGCAGAGGCCACCACTGAGGCTGCACCAGTCGCTAAGGAGGTTACACCTGTTGAGGAGGGAGTTTTGGGTTACAAGGGTCCAGGTTTACTCAAGTAAGTTTATCACTCATCAAAATATCATAGTATCTTCACCTGCGAATATGCGCTTCTGGATTTTTACTGGTTCTTACTCTTTGAGTGTTAAGATCGCCAGAAACCTCATCAAGACATTACGTGAGTCAATAACTAACTTGATACTTTTAACAGGAGCTTCATTTTCCAAAAGAAGCACTTCTGGTTCGGATCTGAGCCAGTTGAGCACAAGAACCTTTCCAGCTATCTTCGTGGTGAGAAGCCAGATGTCGCCAACCACAATGCCGCTTGGTCTTCTCACACTGGTAACGGTCTCTTGTTCTTCAGCAAGAAGGCCAGCGATAAGGCCAGCCCAGCTGGTATCTTGAACTTGGTAAGTCATTCATCACAACCACACCCCAGACGAAAGCCTGCTAACACGTAATTTACAGTCCGAAGCTTCTGATGTCTCCGAAGATGGTACCGTCGATTTCTTCTTCTCCATTCACGGCCACAAGCACACCTTCCAAGCTGCCAACGTCGCCGAACGTGATAACTGGGTTGCTACCTTGAAGACCAAGATTGCCGAGGCTAAGGAAATTTCCGAGTCTGTTAAGGAGAGCGAGACATACAAGACCAGTATCGCTGCATTGGCCAAGCCATTCTCTGGTGCTGCCACTCCAAAGAAGGAGGCAAAGGAAGAAAAGAAAGAGGAGAAGGCTGAAGCCAAGGCCGAGAAGAAGGAAGAAAAGGCCGAGGCAAAGGAGGAGCAAAAAGAGGAGAACGCTGAAGCTAAGGCTGAGGCAAAGGAGGAGAAGAAGGAGGAGAAGGCCGAACTTAAGGCTGAGAAGAAGGATCGCAAGAGCCGCTCTGCTTCCCGCAAGGGTGATAAGCGTACTTCCATCTTTGGTGCCCTCCCAGGTTTTGGAAAGAAGGAAGAGAAGACCGAAGCACCAAAGGATGAAGTTGTTGCTTCTCCATCAACCGAGGAACCAGTTGTTGCTTCTGATGCTTCCCCTGCTCCAGTCGTTGATGCTCCAGTTGCTACTGAGGCTCTAGCCACCACTGAAGAGGCTGCCATCGCTCCAGCTGTCGAAGAGCCAGTTGCCGCCGCTGCTCCAGTTGAGAAGCCAGTTGAGAAGCCAGTCCCAACTAAGCGTAACAGCATCTTCGGCACCCTTCAATCCAGATTCTCCAACAAGAAGCCTGAGCCCGAAGCTGTTTCCCCAGTTGTTGCCGCAAAGGATGAGGAGCCAGTTTCCGAAAACGCTCCAGTTATCCCTGCTGTTGATACTACTGAGCCATTGGCCACCAACGCTGATGCCTCCGCCCCAGCTGAGACCACTGAGGTACCAACCATCAATGGCGAGACCCCCAAGGCTGCAGAAACACCAATGACCAAGGCCGATAAGCGCAAGAGCTCCCTTCCATGGTTGAGCAAGAAGGACAAGTCTGCCGCCACTAGTGATGAGGAGACTGAGAAGCCAAAGTCACCTTTCGCCAAGCTCCGTGCTACCGTCAAGTCCAAGTCATCCCCAAAGACTGACAAGACTGCTGAGAAGCCACTTGAGCCAACTGTCGAAGCTAAGGCTGAGGACAAGATTGATGAAGAGGCCGTTGCCACTGAGGCTGAAGCTGAGGCTGCCCCAGCTGCCACCGAGCCAGTTGTTTCTGAGCCGGTCGTTGCTGCTCCAACTAGCACCACTCCTCAAGTTTCTGCTACCGCATGAAGCAACTCACATCATTAAAGTTGCATCGCATCTTCGTAATGATTTCTTATTGTTCTCGTCGGGAAAACGGATCTCCTTGAAATACCCCCAAGATTGATTGATACCACTCTCATTTTGCAGTACTTTGTTCATCTTTCTTTTTCTTATGCGTTTGTTATGTTTTGGTCTGCCTGCGCTTGCGGTTTCTGCTGCGTATTGATACCCCTATACCCAGACTGTCTTTTCGCAATCTGCCACTAGGGCAAACCAACTCCAACTTAATACCTAATATAAAGTTTCTTGATGTCTTATGAATTTTTTTTTGATGATGAATTTGAATGTGATGTGAGCTGTGTGTGAATGATGAAGTTTCTGGTATTTTATATTCAATAAAAGTAATTCCTGTCTTTAAATCTATAGGAGTACTTGAGTAATGGTATTGTGGGGATAGTGTTGTAATATTTAATAATGTTCATCACTCTCTGTAAGTATTTATATAGTTCTTAAGCCTATCATGAGATTTATTAATTGAAATTCTATTTGATAGTTGTTTGGTGGTAGTACCTATATATACATGGAATCGAAGCTAAAGGATTTGTAGGGACTAGAATTGGGGTTTCCGCTCGATATGGGATAGAGATTACGGGATAGGATATGATTTGATAGAATTGGATGGGGTAGGATGGAATGGGGTAGGATGGAATGGGGTAGGATGGAATGGGGTAGGATGGAGTGGGATGCATTGGAGGAAAAGTAAGGGAAGGGAAGGGAAAGAAAGGTTGTGTTTATTTTGTGTTGTATGGTTTGATATATATATATATATATGTATGTATATTGTGGATTGGAGGGTGAAGGGTTGGAGGTAAAAGATAAAAGATAAAAGATAAGAGATAAAAGATAGAAGATAAAAAAAGGAGATGGTGCTTTATAGCTCTAACAGGGAGGAGGGATTTTAATTTGTAAACTGGCGGGTAGAATGTGGTGGTAGTGTTAGGAGCAGAGGGAGGAGAAGGTAGAGGATAAAGAGTAGAGAGAGATAAACAAAAAAATACTTGGTTATATAAGAGTTCTGGAAACTGTCTAGTGCAGTATGTACTCGCTGTATATTTAAGCGAGACCATATTATTATTTAAAGCAATGATTTTTTTTAATCTTTTTTGAATGATTGTGTGACGGAAATCCCTGCTTTCCTCCCACCCTTATTATATAAGAAACCTCAGGTACATTAACCATGTCCACACATGATACGATTACTCGAGATTAGTATGCGATTTAGGTGACCTGAGGATCAGATCCGGACAAGTACTAGGTATCAATGGTTATCGGTAAAGTAGGATCATTGGAGGAATAAATATGACTTCTTTTTGCCTAGCTATTGCGGCTAGGCTATTCATTTGTGTATATATAGAGTAGCTATCCCCATCTACAGGTGCTCTTCACCTGTAGATTCTAAGTTAAATACAATTGCTGGTCTATAAACACCCTTTTGGTCACAGATTGTTATTTTTTTTTTTTGGATTTTTAATAAAGAAAATAAAGAAAATAAATAAAAGTGAAAATAATATATTCATAATTGGATTTATATTTATAAAAAGATAAAAATAAAAATAAAAATAAAGAGAATTATGTAACGATAATGTACTGGAGGCAGCGGCTGCCTAAGGTTTCGTCTGATTGGTAGTTATGGGTTAAGACTTTATCACTGGTATTCACTTGGAAGTGAATTCGTTACTAGATCAAGTAGAATGTAGGTAAACTAATTGATAACTAAGTTGAGCACGAAGCTCCTAAACTATGAAACTACTCTGACTATATAATGATCGATAAAGGGAGCCCCCAGGAGCTTTCTGGCTCCTAGGGCTCCTTATCACGTGATTACTTTTCATCCCAGGACACTAATCTTAATGGTGAATCGTGACAAATTAATTGAAATTTGATTGAAATTGTTATTTTTTTTTTCTTTGTTTGAGAGTTATATATATTTGAAGTTAAGAAAAATTCTTAATTTTAATTTGTTTAAACTAGAATTAAAACTTGAAATTTTTAAGCTTGAGTTTAGAAATTTAGGTGTCACGATTCATTAATTCACGTGACCTCGAGGACCTTTTGGACCTTAGGGTCCCAAAGGTCCTCAAAAGATGATATAGGGTATATAAACATTCATTTAGTCTCGTAGTTAAGGAGCTTTGTGCTCAACTTAGTTATCAATTAGTTTACTTACATTCTACTTGATCTAGTAACGACTTCACTTCCAAGTGAAGACCAGTGATAAAGCCTTAACCCACAACTACCAACCAGACGAAACCTTAGGCAGCCGCTGCCTCCAGTATAGTATCGTTACATTAGGCTGGGCTATTGTATTAGATAGAGATGGAAACACGAATGTGGAACTGTGATTTAAGGCCTAAAATTTGAGGTGAGGCTTTCCGTGAAGGGGTATTTAAGGAGTAAGATACTCACAAAGTTCCAAATGGGGGGTGACTTTGTGTACCTAGGAATGAATTGGTATAAAATGTTCCGGCAATTGAGATGGAGATCTCCGACAAGTAAGATCTTACTTTCTTTTTTCCGTCAGCGCTACCGCACAACAATCGACAGATAAAAGTTCGCAGTTCTATCTCATCTGAAGTCAGTCAAGATATAGTGGAAAGATATAACGACAACAAATCAATTGTTGTATAAGAGAGAGCCCATACTGCCGGGTTTACCAATAGATCCGAAAAGATCAGCTTTTACCCCTCCATTCTATTGCCCTTCTAAAATCTTACATTACACACAACTACCGGATTTGCATTCCCATTCCACCCCGCCTCTCCAGAAACCTCTCAAAGCCTTACCACACAACTGCAGAGAAATAAACTTACAACTTATATTCCTCGCGCCCCATTCGTTATTATTTATATTCTTCTAGAATTGGATTTGAATTGAACACTGGCTCTGTGGCAGCCAACTGGTAAATCCAATAGTTTGTGAGCTATTGGCTGCAATACATATCACCTTTTCACGGATTGGTAAGCCGCCCCGGATTTCTAGTTACAGCTTCCTGCAAGTTAAACAAGTTTTTTCCACAACTGTACAGCCAAAAGTGTGCGAATGCGGTAAGCAAAGCAAGCTTGAGCTATATATTATAGAGATTATCCATGATTGTTGTCAGCCTCATCTGATTCTTCATATGCATCCATTATTACACTTGCACAACAGTGTAGCGATTTCTAATATCGAACTCCTTGGAATTTGGGGATGGATAGACTCCAGCAAATTTCCAGTTTCATCAACCATTTACCTTGAACCCTCCAGACTTGAACTAAGTAAACAAGACATATTGAGTATTAAACCGCAAAAATTTGTGTTTCTTCGCATAGAATATTCCAAGGGATATTTTTTTGATATAGTATCACCGCGGTTAAATGCCGTGTTACCGGAAGAAGCTGCCGGTAAAAGCCTAGCAAATAAACCCGGTCTGGGTATGCTTTTCATGCCGCAGAGGTCCAGCCCCCGCAATATCAAAATGGAAAGTCCTGCGCTGGTCTCCTCACTAATATTGTGATGACGCTGCTGTGAGGATGCCGTGATACGGCACCGAAAGGGATACAGCCAATGAAAAAATTGACAGCCGAGGCCAATGACAGTTTTTTGGCCAATCTTTCTTTTCATTTTTTTCACTTCCTGCACATGTTTTGCATGCTTTTGATCCTTTTCCGGCAGCCTACAGGCTTCAAGTGCGAGGCATGAAAAGGAATCATAATAGCAGTAACCCTCATTCTACTTCGCCGCTCGAACACATCCTACTTTCTCACATTCACCAGCCCCAGTCGAATGACTCTTAACAAATCTTTAGAATAGGATTAGTAATAAGCCAGATTCACTCTTTAGATTAGCTTCAGCACTGCGCCGTTAGGTATATAAGCACACAGGCACCCACTGTTTATATCCTACTTCTACTGTAGGTAGCTCTTTTATCTACATGCTCTTTACACCTTCCTAACAAATCACTATCGCGAAAACTTCGAATTGTCAACGACATGGCAGATCCACGTTCCGCTCAAGACGTTATCGCGGCCTTGAACCTTACTCCTCATCCTGAAAAGGGTTACTTTATTGAGACTTTCCGAGACACTGAAGGCACACCCGAGCACCAATCTCATAGCACATGTATCTACTATCTTTTGGAGGGCGACACTGGAGTTTCACACTGGCATCGTGTACTTGACGCAACTGAGGTCTGGCATCATTATGCTGGGGCTCCTCTAAAGTTGTCTTTGTCTTGGGATGATGGAAGCCCTGTGAGACACAATATTTTGGGGAAAGACTTGTGGAATCAAGAGAAGCCTCAAGTGGTGGTGCAGAAGAAGGAGTGGCAGCGAGCTCAGAGCCTAGGCGCGTGGACACTGGTTGGATGCACGGTCGCTCCAGCATTCACTATGGAGAACTTTGAGATGGCCAATGAAGGATGGGAGCCAAAAGGGGCAGCCGATGCAGCCAAGAATAATTAATTGCTTGATGACTGGCTGCCTTGTCATTATGCCGATGCAGATACTTACTTGATACACACCTCTGTGGCCTTGTACACCTGTCAGCAAATACCAATGAAGAATGAATGCAACCTCCAAATAATGCATGCTTCTGAGCTCTTAAGTGGTTTCCATTCCCTTTCGAATTTTTTTTTTAATCTTCCAAGTTCTGCCGTCCCCACTCTCTCCCCCCACATTTACAGTTCTTCCCGACGAACACCTCGACTCTAATTATAACATGGACACCCTCAAGAATGACCTCTCCATTTCGATGACCATGGCAGCCTTTATTGGCATTTCATGGTATATCGGCATTGAAATAAATTTTACCCTATTTGTTCTTTTTAGCAGATGGCGAGGGCTATACTTCTGGTCGTGTGCACTCTGCTCCTGGGGTGTTATATTACAACCACTATTCATTATCCTCGCTGATTTTGGCGTATGGGATAATCTTACAGGATCTATTACCATGATATACTTAACCTGGTTCCTGATGGTGGTTCCTCAAAGCTGGGTCTTATATTCACGTTTGCACTTAATAGTGCAACGTCACAAGTTGTTGCGAGGTATCTGGCTTATCTTGATATTTAACTCTGTTGTTTTCTCGGTGCCGACTATCATCATTGGGACTATTGCGGTAGGTTATCTACCAAATCATCAGATTATGACAGCGCCTAATACAAACCCGGATACAGCAAGCCACAACTATAAACCCATCTCTCAAAAGTTTCAACTTAATATGGGATCGGATTCAACTCACCGTCTACTTCGTCCAAGAAACTATGCTAAGCATCCTGTACATCTACGAGACGCGCAAATACTTGAGTGCTAAATCATTTCTTCACCAACGAAGAACAGCATCTTCCTCCACCCATCGCGACACCAACAACAGCGTCTTCTTGCACCTTATCTACATGAACCTAATGGTCATCATCCTCGACATCGTCCTCCTCGGTATCCAGTACGCCGGTCTATTCTATCTCCAAGGCGCCTTCAAACCCTGCGTCTACGGCGTCAAACTTAAAGTCGAGTTCCTCGTTCTAAATAGTCTCATCAAGAGTACCCAGTCTCGTAACGCCAGCGCCTCATATAACTATTACCGAAATACGGAAAGTCGCGATCACACATTGGTAGCTCATGGGTCAGCACCAGGTGGAAATTCGCTCGATCAATCTGGACATCGACTTGGGAGTCAGAGACATGTCGATGATATTGATTTAGAACCGATAGATAGGAGATGCGCGATTCAGGGCTCGGTTTCTAATGCTAGTAGTGGTGAGGTGGATGCTAGTACGTTAGCTATAGGGAAAATCAATGATAAATGGGGTAATAGTTATAATAGTACGAGGATTCATTAGGAAGAGAAGGACCGGATGCAGAATTAGAACTTTGACAACATGGGATTCCTTGATGTTATTCTACTTAACACCGTGAATCGTGGAATATCTATCTCGTCTAAAGCTAAACTCCACTTTGTACGCTTGTTTCTCATCCCTTTCTTTCTTTCGCTTCTTCGGTTAACCCTTTTTCCTAACTGCATAGGGTTAAGTCCCATTTGTTAACTCCATGACGAAGGACCTGCGATAGACATCGAGATAGACGCTCGATGGCATTTCAGAGAGCAATTAATCTAAGGAGATATTTCTTCCCTTATCGATACTTCATTAAAAATATGAAGAGATCTCTAACCTATATCTGTACCATAAAGGTTATAACTAGACAGGACAAGCCACATCGCCAAGGATTTATTAAATGTACATGTCTTGAGCTTGGGACCAGCAGGATATAAACAGAGAGCTCTGATAATTTATACCAATAGGTTGCAGCTTGGTATGTAAATCAAATCTTATACTAGCGCTCTATTTCCAACACTAAGATGCAGAAGTAACATTGATGGAGCTGCCGAGAACAGAATTATGCCGCTGCTAGAAGCGTATGTGTGATTTAAACGCGAGGATGATATGCTAGCTGCAATTGGGGATTTGAGAGGCGGAAGTAAGACTTAGAATTTAAAGGCATGAAGGAGGTGTTTCTGAAGTGATGCTAGCCGACGATAAGTGGTTATTGGTAACCGGCTGGTGGCACAGCGAATCGGGCCTTCGAATTCAGACAACTTTGTGCTTTAAATCCCTTTAGTGTAGGTTGTCGATTTTCCTGCCGCGTAAGTTCGGATTGCAGTTTACACAGCTTGTACGGAATTTTTAATGGATTGTACGGATTGTGTAGGAAAATATATTCACAGGTCTGGACTGTAGTCCTAAACCCAAGGATGGATTATACTTGAAAGATATTAGTACTAAGTGAGTCCATAAATAAAAATTTCTACTTATGATCATGCTAATAATGAGGATATACTATCCAATTTCTCCCATCTTAAACCTCGTAGGCGCCATGTGTATATATTAATATGACTTCTCGTTCATCTGCGACAACTTACCCGCTCTCGCAGATATCTAATGATTCTGCTTATACATCACAATTCTAGCCGTAAATCGAAATCGATAATTTCTTAAGCATTCTATTATACCTGCCATCCGTACAGCACATTCACCCGGCACGCTTAACGACCTTGATAGTGAGATGTTTAGGCATCTAGATGATTTTAGTACTGTCACTTTTACATCATCAAAACCTCTTTCTTATGTTAGATCAAAGGAAAAGCGGACTTTCTAGATAGGTATTTAAACATCAAGCAGGAATCCGAGTGATGATATACAAGTTAACTTCTTTAATAAACATAACAAAGAAGTTTAGCCGTGCAAATTCTACGCGGAGAAAGGAAAGAAGAATGAATATGTTATTATTTGAGGAGGGATTAGGGGAATTGAAGCTCATCTAATTATAGCTATATAGTTAAAGATCACAATAATTTTTACTCATCTTTTCAAGGGCAACGTCTTCAATATCGGCGATTTTCAATATGAGAATTGATGGATGCTGCAAGGTAATAATCATGGAAAACGCCGCGAACTTATCTTGCATTTACTAAAGAGAAGTAATTTGACGGTGCTACACTTGAAAGATTATATATCAAATGGATTGCTAATGATAATCAATCTCTTCGGCTGTTAGAATGCAACCAATCTCGTACTTTTCTTAATATATCTCTACCAAAAAATTAATATTTACCTTTCATCTTCCTATAGGATTGCCACCGAATTCGAATAGATCCTTCGGCAATTCCATATCGGAAAAGAGCGTATTAACACTCGAGTACTATTTGCGTATATAAAGATGTACGTATATCTCATATGATATATAGAATTCACCCAGTTGCAGGCTTGTCTATTCTAGATATCGTCGGGTATTACATCGATATTAGTGACAACAAGATGTTGCAGGATAGTATGTAATCTTGGGTATGTGAGAGATTATAATATATAGGCAAAGCATGATGGTAACAAAGTTAACATCGCATTGATAGTCGTCAATTTTTTTGATGGATTGGGGTATAATCTTAAATTTGAAGTTTATTTTATCATCTAAGTCATGTGCCCTACCCTGCCCATGCTCTAAGTTTTATTTTTGGGTCATTTCTTTGCGAATAGCTGAAGATAGTTTGCTTGAGATATAACATCTTTGTATATAGATTGGGACTTTTCAGAAAAATATCTAGATGACTATATTGATGATATTCCTTTCTTGTGGTTACAGTTTCATTTAATACTGACATATTTGTATGTAGGAGTGAAGTCTGGACTTTATAGAACGATTATGTACTTAGCTAAAACTATGGGCTATGTATGGACGGTATGTGTTTGAAGATTGTATTATTTGAACGATCTGGTCTATCGACAACAATGGATTGCTCGTGTCTAAAGAGTCTATCTAACCACCCAGTAGGTACCTCTAGAAATAGGCTTACATTTATAACTCTTGTTGCCCAGTTTTTCAATCTAGATTTCATCAAAGATCTATAAGATTCATTGCCAGCTCGATGATAGGTGCTAGAGACAAGTAGATGTGTGACAGAAGTAATTAGGCACCGTTCGGCTGCCAACCAGGAGGTGCTAACTCAAAACCAGAATCTGTGAACGCAGGAGCCACTATAATGCAAGTCAGACAAATAGGTCCATTAATAGGTAGAAAAAGCCCAAGGACAGATAACAGAGAGAAAACCCGGAGAAACTTACCTGTCGTTCCTACTAGAGTCCACTTCCCGCGACTTAACGCCTGCTGCCATTCATGCGCAGCAATCACCACCTGTGGTGTTTGATTGCGAAAGATATCTGGACCCAAAACATATTCCCTCACTGGCTGACCGTTGTCCAGAGACAAGTAAAGTGATAACGGCGCCCCAGCGTAATAGTGCCAGACTTCAGACGCGTCGACCTGGTGCCAATATGATTTTCCAACGGCGCCCTCCAATAGGTAATAGATTGCGGTGCTAACAGACCGGTTGCCATACAGCGCTGGGTCGCGAAAAGTCTCTAAATAATACCCCTTCTCCGCGCTCGGCGCCAGTCCTAGCTGGTTGATGACATCTTGTGCAGAATGGTTCTCACCGCGTGGTGATATGCCCTGAAAGATTCCATCAGATGGGCCCCGAGTCTTTGCAAGGGCTTCTATGGCTAATAATAGGGAGATGAGAAGAACGAATTTGGGAAACATGATTAACGTCAAGTGAACTTGTCACTGTGGGACAATTCTGAAAAATATCCGTTGAACGTTGGGCCTGTGCGGTCGAAGCTTGGATAGATCGTTGACAGATGACACAGGTTATGGATTCAAGGAGAATATGTTTGTAGAAATAGAAGCTAGAGGAAAGTTGAAGAGGGAGAGAAGAGGGTATTTAGCTCCCCCAACTAGACCTAATTGTGATTAGTCCCATATACAGCTATTTTTGACTTAAGTATGTGTCACGAATTCACCCCAGTTCTCCCTCAGTCCAGTTTTTGAATGTGATTTCAGCAGTAGGAAGCTGAAATGAACATTCACCCGACCTATACACTCCAGTTCAGCCTATTACCATACTGAAATGCGATTGGACAGCCACCCATGTAAGCTACATGGCAAACATCAACATTCACCAATTATGTCCGTTTACCCCTCACGAGGCTGACACATGTTACATGGCCCGGAAATACCCTACTACCACGGCGTATCCTCACAATTGCCATATCAGGCCACAGCAGAAGTTTGACTGTAGAGCAAAGCAAACCAAGGCCAAGAACTAGAATGCTATTCTTCCCGACAGTGGCGCCGTGGCGCGGTGCGTACACCACAATACAATCGCAAAGAACAAGAACAAATGTCTTAATTTACGATAGTGGGCATTAAACATCGGAAGATGCGGCTGAAGAGGATATCGAAGCTGTGAGTAGAAAAACCAAATGAACCGACGCCAGTGAATCGAACCAAAGACCAGGCTCATACCCCGCATAATATTCGAGACGTAGACAAGGACTCTAGGCAAGATTACGTAGTACGTATGTAGGAACCACATTGTTTGCTTATGCATAATGCAGGTTCCGATTAGAATCCTGTTTGTTCTCTCTACAAAACTAAGCTACTGTAGGCACGGAGCAAGTGTTCATGAAATATGAATTCTTGGTAGGATCCGAGGTTAATTACTTGGACCTGCTCGTACTACGAAAGCATAGGGGAGAGTAAAAGCGAAATCAAACCCCGAACCTAATATTAAGCACATCGCTAGCAACCTTAAATGAACGTTGGTGCTGAAACTTCTTCTGGATCTCCTTTATAAGGTTGATTTAGTCTCCAAATATATTGAGAGACTGGCAAGTAACATGTCCTCTGTAATTTGAACACTCTCAGCTTGGTTTTACTGGGCTCTCCTTCTACAGCCATTACCCAATTAATAATTCTCGATTATTTCCTCCAATCCTTAAATTCCTTTGTGCAGAGCGACCTTCTGGCCACTTTTATTGGGTTTGCTCTCCATAAGAGCGAGATTTTCGCATAAATCTCGCAATCAAGTTTCTTCTATATAACTAAGCAGTCTCTCTTTAAATAAGCTTGTCAATAGCATCGATTGATTTTCTAATTAATAGCCTTTTTGGAAGATAAATTGTAACCAAACCTAAGGAATTTTAATATTTCTGTATATTGCTAGTGATACGCAATATTTACATTATATACAACGCTAATTACTAGTAGTATAGAATTCGACATTAAAATGATATTGATCTAGATGTCATCTCAGCATTTTTAGTTAAGATAAAATTACTATCTAGCTTGCAGAAATCTCATACTAATTCCTCTTCTTTTCAAATCTATCACCCATTCTCCTCCCACCTACCCCCTCAAACACCCAAACCCCCACAAAACCCTACAACTGATACCTAAACCCCCTATCCAACTCCCCACCCTCAAGGGTCCCCTTCCCCTCCTCAATCCTCCCATTCAACCAACGATACGCAAACCTCATCGCCACCATAACACTAATCGCCAACGCCGCCATAATAAACAGTATTTTAAACCCCTTGTGATAATACGGTTTGTCACTTGCTTGGAAAATATGACTTGCGGGAACAGCGCTTAGATTCGTCATTGCCATGTAGAGCGCGACAGCAATAGCGCGACGACGAGGTGTAGGTTGATTTGCGTTGAGCCAGGCGACGTTGAGGGGATGCCAGGAGGGTGATCCGCCGGTGAAGACGAGGAAGGCGTAGAAGGTCCAGTGGCTTTTTGTATGCGGGAGCGTCTACAGAGAAGGAGTGTTAGGGTAGAGGTCTAAGAGGATTGGGAATGTGGAAAACTTACATCGAGGACGATTAGACCGATGAGTAACCATATTGCAGCGAAGATAATTGGTATACTTCTTGAGTTAACCTTATCGCTCCACCATGATAATGTAAATGTGGTGATGATTAGAAGAGCACTATTTGGCATCACCAATAAATTCGAATTGAACGTTCCAAACCCAAAACTCTTGATGATGGATGGTGAATATGTTCCTATTGGAGGAGAATATTCTAATCCTAGTAAAGCCATTGAACAATGTGCCCAAACTTTCCAATCTGTAAGAACAGAAACCAAGATTTGAAATTGAGAGAGATGGGAATCCCTGGGGTCGGTATTGTATGGATTGTCGCGAACGATACGTCCGAGAAGAATTTCGGACTCGCGAGGAGTGAAAGATGAAAGAGGGAGTTTGACAATTGAGTTTCCGCGGCTGGGATCACGGGGTAGGAGAAAAAGTGATGTGATTCCCACAGTCAAAGTAGCGAGTCCGTCTAGCATATTATTAGCACGAGCATTGCTAGAAGAATTCGGTATCACATACCAACAAGGAAAAGCCATTGCCATCCAGCCAAACCAGCTCTTCCACGAAGTCGTAATAAACCGTATGCAATAAGACCATTGAGTAAATTTGCCAAATAGCTTCCAGTGAAGAATAACACTGTTCTCTTTCCCAACTCACGTTTTGTGTACCACTTGGTAAGGTACCATAATGTACCAGGAATGAAACCCGATTCACATAGTCCAAGCAAGAAACGGGTGGCTAGGAATCCAGACTTATTTTTGATGAAGGTTTGAAAGGTGGCCACGAGACCCCAGGCAAGAAGCTGGCATGGAAGCCAAATATCAGCACCAATCTGTTGAAATGCATTAGCTCTGAGAATCTTTTTGGATGTGGTGATAAAAGACCTTTTGAATCATAATATTTGCTGGAATATCCCCAATGCATATACCGACATAGACAAGACTATTGCCTGTATTGACAATCTCTTGAGTGATAGAGAGGTCGGCCATCATGTTATCAGTAAGGGCATTGGATATGTTGCCTCTGTATGCTGTATTAGCCTTTGTGAATTTAGAGATTGGCGATCTCAATGTACCTGTCCAAGTTCAAAGTAAAGAACATAACCATGACCAACGGAATCAAATAGAAATCTAAACGCCGCAGAATCTTCTTCTCCTCATCTTCATGCCACTCAATGGCCAAGAGTCTCTTGTTGAGCTCCGAGTTGCTCTTCTCTGTAGGATCCTCATCACTGATACTATCGACCCGAGATATGACATCGTTCGTCGGCGCCATTGTCTCTGGTACTTTGACTGTAAAACTGTAGAATTACTCTGCTACCTGAGTAATCGCTGGTGACCCCCCAAACCATCAGCCGACAACAGTCTTTTCAAGCTTTATCAAGCTTTATCTTATCTCAATACATGCATCGGATGTTTCCTGATTAACACATAAGGTTATCTAGCAACGACTACAATCGGCGCCAAACATAAGGCGTGCTCCGAGGGAAGTTTTATGTCACTTGGTTTATCTAAGCCAATCAATCAAGTCAGAAAATATTGAAGGTCTATTGTGGTAGCGAGTAGAGGAACAAGCGAGATGTTGCGAATCTGACCCCTGACATGGCGCCTTTGCTGAAATGCGGAACCTCGTTGTTCTTCACAGTTGATTGCTGGATTTATTTATTGTGTCATTGTGTTAATTTATCCTGCCTTATTATATCCATAATCCCTAAATGGCTTTTCGGTATCGGTATATCGATAAAGCGATAGCTCGTGGTAAGGCTAATGGAAATCTTTCTGAGTCGTAAATTCTAAACTTTTGTTCAACGAAAATTTGACCTCAATTGGCTTCGACCTCCATAAATTATTTTTCAGTATTTTCCAATTTTCGAACTTAGAATCAGATAGTAAAGCAATGGCGACAGTTAGTAATTCTTCCTCGAGGAATGCCATTGCTGTGGCTGAAACCCAGGTAGAAAATACTACCGGCGGTACTTCCAGAGAACCAAAGCTACCACCAAAGCCCAAGAACTTACCTCATCCCGAATACACTACTCCAAGAGGTGTATCCCCTTTAATATCTGTACCCAAAGCAGGGTTACAGTATCCAAATTATACGCCCTTCAAGCTCCCGGACTTGGTCGAACATCCCTTTGTCGATAGAGGAATTGATTCAGATCCGAAGAAGAGCAAACTTCTGGGTGCAGCATCAGAAGTGAAGCATCTAACTCCGTCGATTGGAACCGAGCTCGTGGGAATCCAACTCACATCCCTTGATGATACTCAAAAGAATGAACTTGCTCGTTTGGTCGCAGAACGTGGGGTTGTTTTTCTACGAGATCAAAAAATGGATGTCCATGAACAGATAGAATTTGGGTCATACTTCGGAGAACTTCATATCCATCAGATGGCAGGAATCATTCCTGACTTGCCATGGGTTCATCCAATTCATAAGGACGAAACCGCCAAAAATGGTCGATCACACCAAATATGGCATTCGGATGTGAGTTATGAGATCCAACCACCAGGATTGACCTTTTTGAGAATGGATACACTTCCGAAGGCTGGGCCTGATGGATATGAAGCTGGTGGAGATACGATATGGGCGAGTGGTTATGGTATCTATGAATGTAAGTCGATTGAATACATACAATGTTTGCAATGCTAAGTTTGATTCTCATAGCATTATCTCCAACTTTAAAAGGTATCCTGGAAACCCTTGAAGCGAAACATAGTGGCCTTGAACAGGCCGAAAAAGCACTCAAAGGCAATGGCTGCCTTCGAAGGAATCCTATTGAGACAATAGTAAGTATCCCAAATCACCTTATTATACAGAGTCACCTGGCTTACCATGAATTTCGGCAGCATCCTGTCGTAAGGACACATCCAGTAACCGGACAAAAGACTTTATATGTGAACGAAAACTTTACCAAAGAAATTGTTGGCGTCGAGAAAAGATTCAGCGAGTCACTTCTTGATTTCCTCAATCGAACTGTCGCCGAAGCATACGAATATCAAGTGAGATGGAAATGGTCGACCAATGCAGTTGCGATTTGGGATAATCGGGCTACTTTCCACACGGGGATTTTTGACTACTGTGAGTATTTCCTTGGTCGTCTAAACTTTAGGCAGACAATATACTAATAGCGATACACAATAGATCCCCATTTGCGACATGGCTTGCGTGTTGCGACTCAAGCAGAAAAGCCTACCAAATGAGATAGTGCTGATAGTGGATTATTCTGCTTTAAAATCGGTGGATGCACCTGGAACTGCATTAAGCAAGAATCCAACGGGGTCAACGCCTTCAAAAATGAATAGAGGAATACTATTGAGTAGATAAAGTCTTGAAATAAAAAATGTGAATTTCCATCGGCATCATCTCACCGCTAATTGATCATGCAATATTCTGTCGTGTAAATGTTCTTGTAGATGTTTACTTTTTTGGCGCATTTTTGGTGTTCTTCAGTGTCGAAGCTCACTAAGATTAATGCGACCGAAGACAGACATCCGAACTTTCATAACCAAGACAAGCTAGAAATAGTAAATCGTCCAGCACTTGATTCAGTAAAGACTGGATGATCTTAAATGTCTTGAATGATTTCCTTTTTTGGACGAGAATGGAAATGACTAAAAGACGATGGAAGAATGAAAGACTAGTGTGAAAACAAAGTACTCAAGTCGGTCGAGATCTTTCGCCCATCTGTTCCCAAATTTCCTCCCTTCATTCAGTCCTCATACCTCATATATTCTCGCACTTGGGACTTCTTTGGGATAAAAATACCAAAGTTCCATCATAAGACTCGAGAAATTCATTGGAATATGGTTTGACCAGTGTTTGTTGTGGTAAATCCTACAGACCGGTAAACCCTTCACAATGCCTGTTGAAGGGAGGCATGGTTTCCACCACTATGGAATATCCAAATACCCCATTTGAATTATTCATAGTTGAATGATCTTCTCATGTCGTGCAATGTATTCAATTGCCCTTTTCTTTTAGGATTGTTCTCGCGAAGAAACATATTGTTCTGGAATTCCGGTGTGTCGTAAGCCCTCAAGTGTGGCAGAACATACAAACCCAAGATTTTTCTTCGAGGAGATGTTATTGCTGACCGGCGAAGAGATGATACAAGTTGGTATTCGTATTGGCATTGATATTGGCATTGGCATTGAATTTGGTAGAGGAAGTTGGAATGAGATTGCGGTACATTAGGACTTATTTGATTGAGCGTATCTCGAAAAGCCACCCAGTTTTGACGATTGTCAGATTAAGGTTTTTAAGGCTTCAAAAATAGGGAAACCTGCCCTGCTCTAGATTGCTGTCGTCGTCACCCCACAGGCGGGTGGTCCGTGGTGTTCTTCATCCCAGGGTAGCATCGCCCCTCCAGCTCTTCCACAACATCAAAATTAACATCATAATTCTTGCCGGCCCACACTTTATTTCTGATACAATGGATTCACATGCATGCGCATAAAGCTATTTAAGCAAGAACACCAGCAGCCATGTAGCAAAGTTCATCATCCACCGGCCGCTGTGCTTTGCGTGTTCTCTATTCCATGCATTCCCATAATCCCAAAAAATCTTGTTTCCTACAAGCATGAGTAACCAGGATTAAGCTCGCCAAAAGCTGCACAGCACAAGCAAAGATCCTGAATCTCGACCTCAATGACATCACATCCAGATGTTTTCCTGTTCTTCCAATCTTTTTCAATGTATGAAGTCCCACTACTCCTTTCGCTGGATTTTCCTTCATAATTTCAATTAACCCACAGTCAAAACCAGTTAACTATAAAGACTATTCCCCAGCAAAAATTTCAATCCTATGTCCTTTATACTCGAACCATCCTCAGAAGCCTACCGCGAACGCAAAGCCAAGAACCAACGCTCGCAACCTCAACCACAACCACAAGATCAACAACTTCAAACACAAGCTCAACCTCAAACCAATCAACAAAATATGTCAATGCAACAGCAACAAAATGGAGGGCAATTAGCTCACAATTTCCAACCACAATTCCAACAAGCAAAACAACCCGATACAAAGAAACCTCGATACAAGGGAGGAAACTATGGACCGGGTACCATCTCCCAACGTATCGAAAAAGCCATGCACGATCTCGAGCATCAAACATGGCGCTGTCGTCTCGACAAACCTTCCGCACTCCTCGAATACATTGATCCTAAAGCCGTATTTGCATCTCCCGAATACGGTATTTTGACCAATGATTCCGAACCGACTCTGAAAGAAACACTCGAGGATGATGATATGCGCACATGGAATTCGTATGAAATCAAAGATATGAAGATTGTGGAAGTGAGCATGATGGCTGCAGTGGTGGTCTATGATGTAACGGCTAGTATTACCGATGAGAGGGGGAATCAGAAGGGTATTTATAGGGCGTATTGTACGAGTTGTTGGAAACAAGAGGCGAGCGCGGAATGGAAGTTGTGTACTTATACCGAGGCGCCGCATCCTTAGTGGAAGGGTAGGAAGGAATGTGTAATGGAAGGGGAAAAGAAGGGATAGGGATTAATTACGACGTTATGTTATATCTTGGTGTGGATGCCCATGGTGTCTGTTGGATGAGGCGTGGGCTGGCACGGGCATGTATGTTTGGTGTTTGGATAGGATGATATAGGAGTTTTAATGGATATTTCTTCATCACCAATTTTGTTTACGCTTTTTTATGATTCACCTCCATATTCGCATACACTTTCTTCGGTCCATAAATTCATCAATATTGACCTCTCTATGATCTTTGATATTTTCCATTGATCAATGAAAACTAGGATGTCAAAGTTGACCAAACAAAAGTGTCAAGATGATGATAGGATATGGCATATCCATATACTACATCCTCACAGGCCTCTATCATCGAAACAAAATTATCGTCCTATCTAAGCCATAAATTCTATTACAACTCCATAACACTCAATAATTCTAGTCTTCTACCATACGCGACAATGGAAAAGCCATTTATAAAAAGATACCACTGTTTCCCACACATGAGCCTAAGCTCATTGATTTATAAAAGGCAATTCATTTATTAATACCAACATTAAACTTCTTAAGGTAAACTTTTCCTACGCGATTGATTATATTGAGTACAATTGAACTTATATAAACAGCCTAATAAATAGAGTAAGAGGGTTATAAATACAGCTCACAACTCCGACATGAATATATAACCAAAAAGAGCTTACCACCCACAAAACCTAAACATCGACTATGGTACTCCATAGCCTATCACAACACAATTAAAAAACACCAAATTAATACACCTACTAGGTACATATCACACAGGTAATCACAGGTACTAGACACCAAGTACCTACCTATCTATACCTATCAGCCCCTTCAAAAAATCGCGGAGCAACTAACCTTAAATTCCCGGACCCAACTAACCCGAATTAACCGACCGTTAACCCAACACAAGACGCCATACCCCCCAACCATGACGTTCCAAAAAGCACATCTACACCCCTGTCTCAAATCCGCAATACTATCTCCAGCAAACTCTTTAAAGATATATGTATGGTGCATTAACTATCCCCATTCATATAGTACATAGATAGATATGCAGGAACGAATTGCTGTGGAGAAGTAAAACTATTGCGACAATATTCGTGCTATGTACCTTTGTTTGACGAGATTGAGATTAGATTGGATTGTTGTACTCCGTGTGTGGATGGATGGATATAAAGATTTGATGGATGGATATGTTGTTTGTTGTTTGTTGTTTGGATTTATATACTTATATTTACCTTTGTGTATTTATATAATCGGAAAATGAGAGTATAGATAAACATCTATCTACCCTCCAAAATGCTACCACTAAAGCGACTAATCTTCCTCCTCCACCTAAACCTCCTCCTCCCACCCACAAACGCCCAACTCACCGGCCCCGTAGGCGCCACCACCCCCCTCACCCAAAAAACCAAAGAATGCAACATCCTCACCCTCAACCCCTCCTTCAACCCCCTCACCGACGACATCTCCCTCCCAATAACATCCACCTTTAAAACCTGCGTACAAAACCACCCTGGTAGTAGATTAATCGTACCAGCCGGTAACTACACGCTCAAATCCAGTATCATTCTCAGTAATGCCACAAATTGGGCTTTTCAACTCGATGGTTTGATTACGGCTGTTTATTATCCCAATAATACAGATGCGTCTTATACGGTTCCGTATGTTGTCCCCAGAGAGAGGATTCTAGAGGGTTTTGCCGGTGTGCAGAAATTGAATAGGTATGTATTTCCTGATGTTGAGAGGGAGAGGTATAGGAATGTGCGTGTTGAGATGTCGAATAGTACGATTAATGGAGAGGGGGATGGAGAGTTTTTGCAGAATTTCATTGTTATTATTAATGGTGAGATTTTTTATACCTTATTTCTGTTGAGTTGGAGAATTCTATACTAAATCCATCCCAGCTGTCGATTTCGAATTCTACTCCTCGAATGGTCTGGGAGCTATTCAGGGCCAAGGATATCTATACCGTATATCTGGAAAGTAAGTCATTGTCACTCTTCCCCCTATTAAATTATCATATACTCAAACAAACACAGCACAAACCGACCGCGAATGCTCAGACTTATTTCCCCTATAAACGCGACAGTCCATGATTTACTCCTCATCGATAGTCCGAAATTCCATTTCATATTTGATTTTGGAGAGAACATTGAAGTGTATCATTTGACGATCCGTGGTGCTAATCTGGGCTCTTATGATGGAATTGATGCTATTGGGACAAATTATTGGGTTCATGATAATGAGGTTTGTATTTTTCTATCTTCGCTTTCGCTTCTTGCCACGTGCAGAATCTGGATTCAAGGAAAGGGAAGAACATATTAACGGTTTTCAAATAGGTAACCAATAGAGATGAATGCGTCTCTGTAAAAAGTCCTTCGCATAATGCACTAGTAGAAAATCTAGTCTGCAATCAAGTCGGTTCGGGGATTTCAATTGGAAGTTTAAACGTATCAGCTGAAATATCCAATATTGTTTGTTCCCCTCCTCTCTTCCTACCTCTTTCCTCTTCCCAGAAATCTAACACAACCCCATCAGCACGCACGCAACATATCCGTTCTCGGCGGCAACGAAATCGTCTTCATAAAAACCTACCCCGGCGGCTCCGGCTACGTAAGCAACATCCTCTGGGAAAATTTCCGTTCCAAATCCTCTCTGTACGGTATAAACCTCAACCAATACTGGCAACAAACCTACCTTCCAGACAGCGGCGCCGTCACCTTATCCAACATCACATTCCGTAATTTCAGCGGTTCTATTCAAGATGCTGCCAAGCGCCCTGCTCTTTATCTGTTAGCATCGGATTATATACCTGCTACGGATATTACCGTGGAGGATGTAACTGTGTGGACAGAAAGTGGATCGACGAGTGTTAATCATATTTCTAATATTTTTGGCGTGGGTGATGATGTCTACGGGCCGAATAATGGAATTGTCGAGTTAGCTCAGGGAGAGAATCCGAAATCAGAGACGTATACTAGTACGTATACGATTACTAGTGCGCCGACGGGATGGGCGACGCCTACTTGGCCTGCTTGGGCGGTAGCTACTACGGGATATGGAAGTAAGTACTGTTTTCTTTTCTGAAGAGGATGAAAATGTTGGGGGTGGGGGTTGCAATGAGATAAAGTTTTGTGTTATTATGTGAGGTGGACTGGACACTAATGATTTCTTTTAGCTACGGATCCAATTCCAGTGTATACTCCCGCGCCATTGTGGAGACCACAGGGAGACTACGATAAACACTATTGGGGCTCGTTTTAGGAGGTCGCGATGCGGAACGCTCCTTACTATGAGAGGTAAGATAAAGGGCAGCAAGGAGGAATAAAATTATGCAGAGCAAAATGTAGCAAGTCTACACAGCCATCTTTGTCATGTCAATTTTATGTATGTGCAACAAAAACCATACCAAAAACGATGCGAAATAGTCCAGTTCGGCACTAGCATCTTGATTCTCCATAATTGACTTAAGAAATTCGACCTTAGTGCTACACATTGTTTTGAGTTTGATTCGTACAAAGCTTTTTTTAAATGGACTTAACTCTGCTTGCACGCTGAGCTGGATTTATGTAAAAGGGATTCGACAAATCCACCTCACATGAAGAGATCAGCACTCGCGACAAATAGACTGCGAAATTCTCCCGCGGAAAGCGTATTCTCAACTCAAAACACAAACAAAACTTTAGTATACACACAATGAAAATGATAGAAGTAGCAATGCGAAAAAAAAAGACCGAAATTGAAGTCCGGACGTGCTGGCAGAGTACAGTCAATACACAGCTTCTTAATTTCACATAAGAGAAATCTGTATCAATTATATTTTAGCATCATACCAAAGAGTCCTGCTCCTTTCCACTACAAAAGTCGCACTTCTCAAAATAACCTGGTGTACTTTTCCACGCTTCTAGATGGTCAAGTTATACTCTACGATGATTTGTCAAGCTACAATATTTCCGGCTAAGTTCTTCTTGAAATGCACATCAAGCTTTGGAAGCTCGTCCCGGGAATATGGGAACGCAGAATATCATAATATTATGGTAGAGAGATGAGGAACAATATTGGCGTTATTTATTGAAGAGCTTTTTTGCTGGCTAAGATGACTGAAATTACTTGACAAATCGATAAACGGATTCCACTCTAGGCTAAATCTACAGCGATCTTGCAAGCAACTTCGAAAAGGCGAGGAGTATCATTAAAGCTTATGTTTAGTCTAATATTTTAGAAGTGCTCTCTCTGCGCGGGCTTCGTCCATTTCATTCCTAAACGTGATAACATGATCATTCACTAAGTGGACTAACCCCGATGGTGGTTGGTTACTAGGATCATTTCTGATGAAAATGCCAAGATATTCAGGCAGACAGCTAGGTTTTTGGCATAGGCACGTAACAGAGGACTTAGTTGGAAGATAGGTCCACTTGGATTATATAGGTGGCTCAGAGGTGCAGACTTTGTACACTGAAGCTTTTCAGGAAACTGTTCCACAGGCTATGTTCACTGAGGGTGCTTTAGTTGGGACTTACAGGCACGGAAAGATGAAGAAATAGGGGCCACTGACGAAGTACATTTTGTTAACACATTATTGTGATTGGCACAAATGGTGTCGGATGATCGCACTTTCATGATTCTTAGATTCGAAGGAAACTGTTGACCTCCTGGGATCTTGGCAGCATATGCATATATAGTACATATGCATATAAGGAGCAAACAAAACTCAACTTTTAATTCATTCTTTCCTTTTTGGTATACTGTTTGTTTGCTTTCAATATTTTGATTTCAAAGCACTTTAATTCCGAAGGCCGAATACCCAACCTATTCCTTCATTTTTTTTTGAATATATGCTCGCAGCTTAACTGCTTAGCTAGAGAATAAAATCAATTCAATCTGATGCTCTTTCTAGTCTCAAGAAACCCAACAGAAACCCACCATAATTCTTAACATGCCGCATCAGAATTCTGTGAAAGAGCTGTGAGTGGCATGCCGGAGCAGGTACCAAAGATATTCTTTGGATGATTTGCCATCATGAGCCCTAAGCCCGTGGATTTTGATGAGGTTTCGACCAATTATTTCGAGAACTGGGTATGGGAGAACCACACTGATGTATGAACATTAAAGGAAATAAGGTTACAGCCTCGTTTAATCCTTGTGGACTAAAAAAATCAAGGGTTTCTCTTATTCATCCAGAACAGACGATATGAACATTAGAATGGGATGATTTTTCATGCATTAAGGATAGTATTTATCCAAAAACTTCCCTTGTCAACAAACCCTCCATCAAGGCCATTGCCCGTGATCAAGAATGCGAGTATAGTGGGCAGTAGACTTGTGTTCCATGATATTGTAATTAATCGTGTTGGACAATGTTGCGTCCGTATGATAGTTGACCGGAAGCAGAGGGAAGTATTCATGCGCCCAGGACACTGCCAGGGTTCATTGTTTTCAGATACGAGAATGTTTCTTCACTCTGTCATCAGTGCCGAGACGGGGCGTATTTAGGCAACACCAACATATATGAAGGCTTTGCACTTGAGTATCATCTAGATGTAAATACGCCTATGTGATTCCACTTCAGCCTCCGGAATACCGACAGAGTTCCTGGACGTCCGAGGAGCAAAAATAGGCGATTTTCCTCCTTCAGGAATGTTAACCAAAGAGCCAATGTTTGTACTCATTCTGTCGACAGCCTTCTGAGTCGGAACAATTATTGTGTAAAAATCAAATGTTCGACAATCGATTGCATACGTTTGTGACAAGCTCTGTGTAGCAGCTACGTTGGTGGAGTGGGCTAAATTGTGAAACCATGGACTATAACAAACATCCTTATACATTAACCATAGTCCTGGCTTTTCACCATGCTCAAAAATGGGTGGCCAAGCAGCTACGTGAGAATTCTTCCCCCTGGAAACCATGTTATATATCAAAAGAAGTTGAGCATGCTAAAGCGCTAACTCTGCTAACACGAGGAACCTTTGCTACATTCTTCAAGCAATTGCTGGAGCATCCCCAAATACAGGCCTCTCCATGCGAATCAGCTTCTTGACATCAGAATTTCGCCATTATTTCCCATCAGTGACTGAGAAATGTACAGGGACTTGCTATGGTTGGCGGATTTTCAAATGATACTGTTTCTAGCTGCAAAAGCACAGGGACAATCTGAGGAGAGTTGATTCTAGATTGGTTTTTGGTCTAAATCGTAGATAACTTGAATTCGACAGATTGAGGCCTGAATTTTGTCGAGGTTAGTTTTCGTCCATTAAAGAGCATTGTGAATAAACATACCAGATGCAAGCTGCCTATCTAAATGTCTAGCATTCGGAGTTTCGATCTGATTGCAGCTGCTTCTTCTATGAGTCGACAAGTTTCGTCCGCAGATTTCGCGAGGTCTGGCTATTCCGGTGCTGCTAGTTTTATGGTAAGTTTTGGAGTTCCGCCTGAGTGTGTCATCTTATTTCGTTCATTCGGAGTATTCATGAAAGCACAAGTCTTGGCAGATGCGATCAACTTGTATACATAATTCTAGAGAACCCACTATCCTCACAAGATCCCAGAGCACTGTGACGGTACAGAGTTGACTTTATGCCGGGGACCTCTGCAATGCCGCACAATGGTAAGCTTATTGAGGTGGCTAATTGGACATAACTACTTCATCTTCGCGACGGAACTATGAACAGTGTGGCTTTTCGGCCTCTGAAATGGACTTGCAAATAGCTTTGATTTCCAGTAGAATTGAGACTGGGCTAGTGTTGGGGAATTTATCCACTGGCGCAGTGTTGATGTCAATCCTTGATGTCAATCCTTGAGTAGATGGAAACCGGGGAAGGCCTGGTTCGACGAAACAGATGGCTGCTGGCGTTTCGAAGAGGATCCGTAAGAGAGTGACGGAGCAATTTACTTATGTTCTCGGAGGGAAGATAAGCCAGTCTACCAGGTATGCAGAAAAGGAGCTGTCCGAAGAAGGGTCCATTTATTGCCGGTAGATACCTATTTGAGTAAAGGTTATGATTCTTCACACTAAATTCCCAGTTGCTTCTCGGCACTGGGGTTGAGGCTGCAGCTTAGCACAAAAACTAAGTTTTCCTTCCCCACATTTCCCCTTCACCAAACTTTATCAAGACTGACTATAATTCAAACCTGACAACAACAATAAAAACGTTAATTCTTTGCGAAAAAAGTATGGATCCATTGATATTCATCACAAAGATTATTGTTGCAAACTTTTAGATAGCGGGACTGTCTCTTAGTAGATGTTGAGGCCACAAAGGATTTCCAAGTGAATGAAGAGAAACGGCCGAGTTTTGATAATTGTGTGCTTCACCAGGAACATCATATAGGTACATTTGCTACCTTTGCGAGTTATACAATATCATTAAGGAATCTGATCCGTATAGTGCTATTATTGGCAATTATCATGTTTATCGCTCCTAGCATGGTAAATGTTCTCTCTAGTTATCTTCGCTTCCCACCCCAAGACATCTGAATATCCATTTCAACCTAAAGACCATGATCGATAACACTCATTACCATAATCTTAGCTTTGTATTCTTCTTTTAATCTCTGCTTCAGCCTTGACTATGACTAAGACCATCACTGGGCCGTCCAATTGAAGGATTGAATCGAGCCTCTTCAATTTCCTCTTCCTCTTCTACTTCTTCCCACCTCGCCCAACTTGACTTGTACAACAAATACAATCTCATCAGCAAATTCATTGTCTTTGCTCTCATACTCATCACCTTTGCTCTTGATCTTGCTCAAATCATCTCTCCTACCTTACTCGACTTATAAAAGAGCTCAAAATTCAACAACAGAGCTACCTTCTCTCCTGCTCCCCTACCGCCAACCTCTGCTCGGTTTTGATTCTACGAAGCAGAAATATTGACATCAAACCAAATTGGTTTTGACTTAACTCTGATCGCAACATCTTAATGAACATTTGTATCTCTTCCATGCCGAGCGATGGCAGTATGAAGCGCGAGCTGGAGGCTCTGCGAAATTAATGCAATACTGTTGGATGGAACGGCGGAGGACTGAAAAATCATACAACGAACATAATACTGAAGCTCTACTCTTTGTCGCAAAGAGAGAGATGTCTGCAGAGGAGGCCAGTAAGGATAATAACGTCTCGATAACGTCAGCTATTGCTATGAACTTCTTCATCAGCCTGCTAAGTACTCTGCCACAGAGTCCGCAAATGGAATCAAATTTTCAAGCATTTTCGGCAGTCTGTCTGTAACTGACGCTATCTGCCACGACTGCAGAAACCCTCACAGTGCGAGGAGTCATCAAACTGCAGGCATGATCAGTTAATAGTGCAGATTTGTAATACTAGCTTGCAATATTGTGCGGATCGTGTCGGGAATACTACTAACTTTAGTTACCCAGAGCTCTACTACATTTGGATTAATGTCATATATATATTTCCCCTTTCTGGGATCCCGAAGCATATAACGCGATCAGGACGAAGAGAGGACAACAAGATGGGAGGAAAGTTACAGTTGGAAAAAATTGCGAGTTTCAATAGATCGTCATTTGCGGACACACCGGCAATAGAACGGCCTGTTCATGAGAGATAGAAAAGGCTCAGCATTGAAATGAGACGTTATGGCGAAAGGAAGGTTATATCAACCTCCTAACGTTTACTGGACGAACTTTCGATGACTCAACTCATGGCCAGTTCTGTGCACTGAGCCACTATAGATCATGGTATTCTAGTTGAATATGCCTCATGTTCTACATAACCAGATGCGCATTTTCCCCCATTGGATTTATTTTAGAAAGATTTCATCAAACCATAGGAAAATCAGTCCATATTCACAAATGTGGAAAGCAACATGGAGTATAGTTATCGTGAAGATGGAGCGATTTAAGAAACGCAAGGCTGAAAACCATGTCAGGGAATATTCCACTCGTATTTACCGCCGCACTCGCAATGAGATATAAACACAATAGAGCTCTTCTAAGCTCGGTGGTAACTTCCAACACATACGAGCCCTGTTTGTCCTTTTGGCTACAATCGGAATCGTAGCATCCCTAGTAGTGATGTGTATAAGAAACCTGGGCCATATATTGACCATTTGGTAGGCAACATGAACTGCTTGATCATGTCTGAAGTCAACGCAGAACAGATATCTCTCAAGTCGAGACAAAAGTAAGAACTTGAGTTCAGAATAAACATTCATTTTCTGCCATATTCTGCCATAGCTTGACTCGTGTTGTCTTCGTTGCTGTTTTATCCATTTCTGCACACAATATCCTATTTAGACTTTCAAGCGAGAGTTTGAACACCTGTAAATCGCTGTTTTGACCGTAAAAACAGGCGTCTGGTCTCTTCGTATGAATAGCATAAAACTGGAAGGAAAAGCCTTTGATCTTGCGAATATTATTTACATTGCAGCATAATCCCACACCCTTTTCAATTTCTACGCCATATCGCTTAACCCTTTACACCAAATCACTCCCAAATGCTACTTCATCTGCGTCTTCAATGGGCGAATTGGGCTCGGTCTTCTGGTTCTCTCGAACCGTGTTCGGTTCCAAATGGTTAAGAAACCATTGCTGCGATGAGTTGGTCCAGGCATCAAGATCACGTTCAGCAACAGTGATCACGTCGCCGCCTCTCCTGCTCCCTTGATTTACTATTTGTAACCTGAGGTCAAATACCTCACTGACTTTCAATGCTCTAATTGCATCCACAACGTCTTTAGCGACTTCGTTTTCGTTCTCGCTGAAGCGGTACACGATATCCGTAGACAAAGAAAGATACAGGAGCAATGTTTTAACATTTTGAAAATGCTTTGTAATAAATTCACACAGGAGCAAAAACCGGCATAGTTCGCAGTGATCCGATAAAGGCTCATGTGTGGTGTGGTCCTCGGAGTGCCAAACGGTATCTAGGTGCAGGCATATATGCCTAACTTCCGCATGATTATCCTTCGTTGTACATTGCTGATGCTGTACCTACAACGCTGTCAGTTTAGACTAGGAGAATGGGAGCAATCATAATACATGCGCCTGCCTCTTACATTCCTTCAAGGCAATGGTTCCGTAATGGAGACGTTCGCCAAAGTCGATGATAATATTTTCCCAGAAAAAGTCGACAACCTCTTTCCACAGATTAATGTATTCATCGTTGGCAACCTTCTCTTGAATTTCTTTGCCTTTCAATTTGTTCTCCCCAGTCTGGCTCTTGGTTTTACGCTCGTCCAGTTGTAGGGCGTACTCCACTCTCTCTACAAACCATACTAACCTTTGAATGTTTCTATATTCATTAAGTTTGAAGAAGTCTAGCATCCCCTCTGATTGCTTCCAGTGTTTATCTCTCGTCCAGTCTGTCAAGTCCTCCTTTTCTAGACCTAGTAGATCATCTGACACATAGTGGTAAATGGGGAGAGGGCGACGTATTGCGTTTCTTCTTGATACTCCGAACCGCCTTCCATTACGAGAAAGCCGAGCCCATTGCGCGTCTGGTGACCAAGCGAAAATCAGGAGCTTGTAGATTTTGTTTCGAACATCTGTAGGTAACATCTTGAATTGCTTCCAAAATCTGGTTGCCAATTAGTCCATGGTTTTCATTATCAAGGGTAGAATAGATTTGGTCTACACTTACTCGAGTGAGGTAGGACCATCATCGAGATAATCGCATATAGGCTTCACAGCTTTGAATTTGGAAGAGATCTTTGATCCTTTCGGAGCTCCATGTTCCTGATACAAGTCGTCATCAAAAGATAAATATGGAATTGACCTGGATTGGACTGGCTTCTTCACATCCCGAGGTCGGTCATCCGAGAGGTAGCATTTTGAGAATGCTGTCTCAAAAATAGTGGCCTTAAAATTTTTGCGAAACATCTTAAATTGTTCTCTTGCTATATTTATGTCCAGCTATTAGTTAAAGTTGTGATAAATAAATGAGGTGATAGGATGTGACAAAATATTGAGAGTGCTTAACGGAAGAAGCAAATTTCAGAGCTGATGAGGAGGAACGTTGACAAGAACTGGCAAGATGTATGCCTCTTTTGGCTAGTTTTGGCGATGAATAGATCTATTCAGAGACAAGGGAAGGTTTGAAGACTAGCAGTAGATTCGGATTCTGCAGAAACCTAGCAAGGCAGGAAGATGCAAGATGCGAAGAATTAATGCAAGGTCATGCAATTTCTGAAACACGCTTTGTGCAATAGCATAGAATTTTGTTGCCAACAGATGCAAACTCTGCAATGCAAAGGACTCCCTCCTTGGATAGTAATCAAAGAGAGTTGTAGATGCTGTCTGTAATGTTAATAGTAAAGAGTTGTTGTGGTGGAAGATGTCTGCTGTAGGAGTTCTTATTAACCTATGTTTATTATGATTGGCAAGGCTGCTCTCTGCTTCGTTGAGGCTCAACAAGAGATTCACCAAGATGATAGTACCATTCAAAACAATGCCTTTATTAAACTGATACTTGCTAAAGGAGCCTAGTGGTTGAAAAGATTTTCTATGGATGGACTGGACGACAACCTGCCCCCCGCTTTTGAACGAAGTCAAGCTTGTTAGATATACCCGCCTCATTTTAATTTCTTGGGATATTTGATAATTCGAGGAGGTAAATAATCCTCAGATTGTTACTCGTTCTTCACTTTTTCTGATGTGCACTTCTGAACAGAGAGATACTATTTGAATCTTTTCAAGTACTTCTTATTATCTTCTCTGAATTATCAGAAGGGGGAGCTCTTTGACCTAATAGCCTCAAAAACACCACCTCATCTATACACAAACCTCCACAAGACGAATTACTAGGACCTCTTTAATACAGCCACATCTTCTCGGCTTTAGCAGCATCCTCTAATTTGCAGAAGACGCAAACTAATTGTTTTCACTATCCGTCACATTCAATACACGGAGCAAGATTACCTAGCTGCTTTTCAAGATCTACCTTTCTCTTGCGTGCGAATCAAGAAACGCCCTCCAGACCTCTGCACTCGATCTTAATCATCTCTTCTTTGTATCAGACGAGCGATTCAGGATAAATTACTCTTCTTGGCTATCTTGCATCCTGTAAAGACTAATCTTTACGAAGCAATCTATATCGGTGGTTTCCATTAGTGCTAGCTACCTTTTCAATACACAGAGAACGCCGGCTTGAGATTAGCCTCACTTTCTCGACCCGCGAATAGCCTCGCCTGATTCATTTTTCAACAATACCTGGGACTTGTATGCGAGACGATCCTTGGTCATACTCCTTCAATACGCATTCAAGACGACTGTATTCTACGGGCTGCTATTTTTTGTCCTTGTTTCCGGTTTTACGAACATCAAAAAAAAAGATCTGCACCCCTCAGTGCAACTAGTGGTCTAAACTAGATATTCAAATATCGTACTTCCTCACTTCCACCTAGCCACATCTCTTCCGTTCAGAGAATTCCTCGGACAATCCACCCTATGTACTCCAATATACAAGCAAACCGATTCTCTCTGTCTTAACTAGCAGTCAATCGTCATACTAGACCTGTCACCTGCTTCGCACGCATTTCACCAAGTTTTTATTCATATTATCACCATTGGTCAGAAAGATGAATTCAATAGAAGGGTCATCTAACGCATCGACTCACGATGTTCATACTCAATGTACAAATACTAGTGGTGTACAGGTTACTGATTCATCTGCTGGTCAAGAACCAGACAAAATAAGCCAAATCAGTGTAAAGATCGATCAAAGTGTCATTCGATCCGAAGCCAAAGCCCTCAATGAAGTATCTGATGCAGCCAGTGGACTTACTGCTACGACTGACCGTATACCAGACCCTTACATCCTGTCTCAAGTCTTCTTCCAACGCCTTGGAAAGTCTTCTCCAACCCTGAGATCCTCTAATAGCACACCTCAACGTCGTTTGCTAGCATCTGGTACAAAATCCAAGGGAGAATTCAACATCTTCAAGATGTTTCCGCATTTGCCCTTGGAGATTCAGCGAATTATATGGAAAAAGACCTTGCCAGGCCCGAAAATTCTCCTTGTACAACCTCTCATACCCGAACAACTGGTACACAATAGTTACCTCACAAATTATCGTATGCCGAATTCGATTGTGGTGAACAAGGAAGCTTTCGAAGGTAGGACTCCTCTTTTGCACTTTACTTATACCTTGTACCCAGAAAATTCTGCCCTCGAAGACTCCAGTGTGATGTTGGTCTTAGTTCTTTCGATCATCTTACGTCCGTTCTTTTGAAAGCCTGCTTATAAGTACTAACATCAATCTCAATTAGTGTTTTCGAAGGAATCTGTTTTGCTGAGAAGTAGCTTCATCTGCCAAGAGACCCCAAATCGATGTTTCCAAAGCAAGATTGTATTAGACTTCAATATCGACTCCATCTATATTGATTTCTTGGACCAACTAAGCAACCATCTCTATCACCGTATTCCACTTCCCAATCATATCATCAACCAAGTTTGGTCTGAAGGCTGCGCCGCCACAATGTTACACCTCATCATCCCGCTCCCTGCAACGATCTTCACCGACTCCAACGATCGACGCTTTTTGAAATATATTAAGGGAATTATATGGTTCAACCGAAGTATCCGCCACTTGACCTTCGTCCTCGCAGACGATACACGAAGGATGCCGTGCGCGCAGAGGGATGTTGCATTAGAGGATCCAATCGACTTTAACTATGCTCTTAGTCTATTCGAGTGCGATCCTAGAGATGTCCCGTGTGAAGAAATCCCGAAACATGCATCTGTAACTCCAGCCGTTCAAGACTTTGATTTTGATGTTTTGAAAGAAACAATCTTTCCGCCCTCGGCTCCGGCTTATTTTCGGTTTGATCTCCCGGAAGATTTGGTGGTTGATTTTAAGATTGTGGTTTTGAGGGTGAAGGCGGAGGAGTTGGCGAGGAAAAAGAAGAGATTCTATGTGTTGAAGGAATTGCTTGCTCGGGATGAAAATTTGTCTCAGTAAGGTGTCTTCGGTATCTTCTATTAGGCGATTGCTGGAGGTAAATAGTTAGTAGTTATGCAGTACTTGATGTTCTAGGTTTCATTATGATTTGAGGGAAAATTGTTCAGTTTAGTTTTCTAAATAGCATTTTTCTCTATCCATTATAGTGATGGTATATTATTCCGTGTTCCAACTTATCTCGCAGGATACGTTATCATATTTGAGTAGAGAAAATGAGGCTTGGTATGCCCAAATCTGAGATCTGCTGGACTAACAGCTCCGAGATATAGTATTTAATTTGATGATATGTTTGGACTGCCAGGTACCTTGACGTAATAGCCTAGTTTTCTATCCCCAAGATAAACTCCGAATGTCTAGAGGTTTAGTAGAACTTTAGATGTGGTTTTTTATACTATCGCTGCTTCATGATATAGTGTAGAAGGTCGAACATATTCGAATCCTATGTCTTTGCTGTGCAGTAATTAGCTCACAGCTTGTTTATGAGATCCTAGGACGTAGGTTACAAGATCTAAATGAATTCTACTCTTCCGTCACCATTTCTCGGGAGATAATTGTGCAAACTATCCGAAAGCTCTAGCAAATGAATCTTACAAAAATTCCACATCTACCTCGCAGTTGTATCCTCTCCCTCTCCCCTCCCAAAATCCTTCAAAAATCTCCCCCAAACAGCGCCCTTTCCAGTCTCACCTACAGCCACACTCCAAAGCACTCTCGCCGCACCATCCTCCCACCCAATCGGACATCCATCCCAACCACCATTTCTCTTCCTGTTCTCAATCACTTCTTTAGCCGCGCTCAGATAACCCGGATCTACACTATTCATCGCCACTTTCCTATCTCGCCATGCTACTGCTGCTTCAGTTTCTGTAAGCATGTTAAGTGCGGCTTTTGTGAGATTGGTATGTACATGGTAACCATTTTTGTGGCGGTTAGTGGGCGTGACTTCGAAAACTCCTTCGCGAGCTGAGACGTTGATTATATGGCCTAGAGGCTTAGAAGGATGGTTATTGGTATTAGGATGGGGACGAGCACTGCCCATGAGCGGAAGGAGTTCGCGAACTAAAATTAAAGGGACGAATGTGTTGACTGAGTGGGCGGAGATGACGTCCTCGTAGGGTATTTCGTAGAGATTTTGAACCCAGGAGGTTTTGGGTTCTTCGGCCGTTGTTGAGATTGATGTGGTATTTTCTGTTCGTCCTACTATTCCGGTCTCTTCGGGAAACATGTCATTAAGACGTTTTTGTTCCGTATCGAAAGCTAAGAGATTTAAACTTTGAACGCCACCTCTGACTCGCGGACTGTAATTAGTGTCAAGAAGTAGATTATTGAAATCGTTGTCTTCAAGTCTCAGCTGGTTTTCTAGTTCGATTGCCCGCCTTTCTTGTTTAATTGAGTCTGTCCAGGTTTGCGCAGCATTGTTTATAAGAATATCAAGCTTTGCTTTGTCTCCTGTACTCCAGTCTCTCAATATCTGCCTAATACCAACAACTAAATGAAAGACATCATTGGCTGCTCTAAAGTCGGCCCCGATGATCCTTAATCGCTTCCTCCATTTTTCCGAGTCATTTTCCGCTAGATATTTCACGCATGCATCCCGGGGATATCTGGACGATACTATTACTTTTGCACCACATCTAAGCAGTCGTAATGTGGTATGAAATCCTAAATTGATTCGGCCTCCTGTTACCAATGCCGTTTTCCCTTCCAGATTAAGAGCATGCGGTAGTGAAAGTTCGCTTGATGCAAGATTGAAGCCTCCACATGGTTTGCAAAGGGCTGGATACTGAGGATGAGGAATAGTGATGAGGAAATGGCAAATATAACATCTTCGTCCCTCCCTTATTCTTTTTGTCACACTTTTGTCCTCAGTGGAAAATGGATCCCGCAAACGTTGGTTCAAAACCTGCACAACGTCTTTTATTGGCGTTTGCCCACTAATACCAATGTCTCCCGAGCTTTTGACGCAATATCCAAGCACTTTGAGTGTTGTTTCAATATCCTCTACTGAAGGTACACACTCAGGGATATCCTCTATAACATTTGGAAGACTTCCATGCCTAGGCTGTGGCGACATTTGGTGTAAATAGGCTTGGATTCCTTGTATTATCCCAGTATACAAAGCCGTGCCTATCGTATACGAGTATCGGGATGGTGCATTTTTAGGATACAGCTCCTTTGCGATCTTCTCTCCTAACGGAGATTTGACGTTGGGGAGGTAAAGGGCCAATGGACTGGGAAGTCCTTGTGTTTGACATAGCTCTTGGTCTTGTCGGATTTGTTGAGCTATTTTGGAGGGGCTTTGATTTCTGATATAATCTTTGCATGATTCCTCCGTGTTCAACATAGCTAGCTACCTGAAAATTTCTATGAGATCTTTTGTGACTGTATTTTCTTTTATTGTTGAGTTTTCGTCATACAAGTGAGAGCCCTAATGGTGGGGGATTCTTATGCTTATTTGCGGCACAGGTAGCTCGTTTCAGGGGTTCGATTAGCCAAGGCCCCGAATGCACATCTTACTGCATTTTATTATATCCTGTGATTTACAGAATGTAACCTTAAGGTGCCTAGTAGTCAGATGATAAATAGTAAACAGAAAACCTGTAACGTCGTGCATTCTAACCAAACAACAAAAAAATCACAGCGTTGTCGTTGATTAAGAGCTCTATCTCCTTTTCTAAACATTTTTTCAAAAGGTTGCACGCAATGGACTCCGATCCTTGGTCATTACCATGGTCTCGCGAACCTCCCGTTGTGGTTCGAAACTTGCAAAAGCTACCACTGGAACTAGTTCACGAGATTATGAACGATCTGCCAGTCATCAAAATTCTATCGATTCTCTCCTGGAGACTACCGTACCTTGACCAATGTGTTATCACGCATATACGCTGGAAACGAATCTTCAGATCACACAATGACATTTCCCATGCAGCCAAGTGTTACACTCTTTATCGTGAGATATATTGGTTTTATCGCTGTCCTTTGGTAAAAGGGAGCTCTGTATTGGCATTGTCTTCCTACATGCTTATCAAGAACATGATTCCCTTCGATCTGATATTGAGAAGTATGAGTCACAAGATTAGAGCTGGCTTGTGTATTTATCCTCATGACCTCGATCTGCTACTTGAGCACGGGGAAAGCATTTGTCCGCGCATCGAAGACACTGGGCTACAATCGCAAGAACATCCCCTTAACCTGAATGAATGCTGGATTTATTGGAATTGGATCAAGGAGTCAAAGTTGCGGCTCAACAAGCTGAAATCTCAAGAGCTAAGGCTCGCTGCACGTCTGATTGAACAATATCCACGAATTTTGAAGAAACCACACGATCCATCTCAGAGTGCTCCTCGACCCAACACTACTCATCTTATGGTCAGATTTGAAAGGCAAGCTGTTAAGTCTTTATACGACAGAAATTTGTCTCATGATTGGAATCGCTATCAGTATAGGTCAGATACGAATGTTATCCTACTGGTACCATACGATCGATACCTTTGGTTACTCCTTGAAACATTAGCCAAGCACCCGCTTGATTTTGAAGTTACTGGCCTCGAGGAGAGCTTGGCCAAAGTCTCTCTGCTAGATCAGAAGCAAGGAACTCATTCAAGAGACATCGAACCATCATCTACTCTCTCCAAAAATAACACCAATGTTTTCCGATACCCAGAGAATATTGCCGAAAATCTGAGGACAGTGTTAAAAGGTCTGATGTATATCTATACAAAACCACCATTGACTGTCCCTCGCATCCAATGGAGTTCTACAGGAAATACTAGCTCCTCAGAGAAGTGGCCAAAATTTGTTGTTCACAAAGGACAAGAGGAACACGCACAAAACAAAAATATACGAATGAACTGGAACATTAGACCCCGCGATGAAAGAGAGTATGAATGGCTAGCAGCTTTTCTGAAAGCTGTTACATGGATTGAATTGAATATTGGATCGACAGAGGATTCCTAGACATTCATCTGTTCGGGGCCTGTGTTTTACCGTTGGGATCTCGCCTTTGGCATGTGTCTTGGAAATAGATAGAGATGTAATCTTTTATGTATATGATATATCGAGGATCTAATGGGCTGAGAAACCATGAAATAGTCAAGCGATTGTGTACAGAATCATTTATTGGTACTCGTGAAGCTCATTGGTCCCAAGATCGTCAATCTCTGGAAGAATGGGTCCCAGAAAAGATATAGATACTATAGTTGAATGATTTGTTTGTTCAATGCATCTGATTATATAAATGGCTCACTGAGCCGTACGTGGCCGATATTTCGTTTGTGTTGTTACAATACTGCTGAGTGGGCTGTATGAGCTGACGTAGTGGAAAGCTTTTCGAAGCTCTTAGTTAAAATTTTAGCTTCACAAATACTATTTCCTATCAAAAATCAATACTTATACTTTGCACTCGTACCAATTTTCCCTTTGAACAGTTTCCTTCTCTGACTTCTTTACCTCCTCCAAACTTCCACTTCAACCTCCAACTCAGACTATTTTCAAAGATCAGGTAATCGATGATGCTGGCTTCCAAGCAGCCAACACAGGGAGACGTATTGAAACCTTCTGCAATGATTGATGGAGATAACATGAGCTACGATATCGACGTACGGGCAACCAAAACATTTAGACCATTTCCTCGTCTAGCTATTGAACTGCGACTAAATATTTGGCGTTTGGCTTGCCCCCAGCAGGGGCGCTTTCTTAGAATTAGACTGCATCCTGTAGATGCAACTTTTGACCTCAACATAGCAACACCATAAATTCTGTTTGTCAATCATGAAAGCCGTCATGAGGCGGGAAAGATTTACAAGAAAGTGCGGCTACAATTAGATCAAGTCGAGAATAAGCGAAAGAAGTTTCGAACTTTCTACGTCAACACCGATAGAGACATTTTATGCCTTGATAATGAGTCGGGTGATACCAGCCAGAATTATCACTTTGAAGGTGACTTTCTGGCTCATTACAGATTTACTTTTTTTTACCGCGGGAAGTCGTCTCGGCGCGCTATTCCATGAAATGAGAGTAGTCAAGACGTCTAATTTCGACTATGATCAAGCAAGGGGGACGTGGTTTCTGCGATCCCATGACAGTCCCTGGAGGTACTCGTCTGCAGGCTATAGCTGCGAGCTGTTCAATTATATGTCGAATCTGAAGAAGTTAATTCTCAGCCCTATGAAATCTGAGACGCAAGCATCTTCCGTGGGAATACCATCCTGTCTCTCTCTGGAGCAGAAAAGTGTTTGTATCAGAGATATCCGGGCCTATTTCAAAAAGGCGAACAAGAGAAATACTGATTATTCAGTACCTGTAATTGAAATTGAGCAGGGAGAATCTTCTACAACTTAATTCGAGGGGCCAACTTTGCCTTTTCTTTGATGGCTTTTAGGGTTGTTGCGGGTGGACGGAATTGATAAATCTAGGTTTTTGAGTAGTAAATGACGGTTGCTGAAGCAAGGCAAGAACTCAGCTGCTTCAAAGGTTTTTTCTTTGACATAGGCTACACACAGTGATGTCTAAAGGGCTATTTCTTTGCTTAGGAACACGTTTATAGTGTATAGAGATGATTAGAACAAATCAACGGAAAACTAATCTACTTAACCAATTTTCCGATGCAGAAATTTAGTGACACGTCATGTCACGATGAGCATTAAGATTCGAAAATTCAGAAAGTGTGATGGGAAAAATGTAACTGCAACCATTCTCTCCTCCACCGGCCTACTTTATATGATTATGGCACCATCACTACGGTGTCTATCTGGAAACATTTGAAAAAAGTTCAGCGAGAGATACTACATGAAGTTCAATGGTCTCGAGTTTATTTATATTAAGATTGTGTTCATTTCAAAGATTCTATCCTTTTGAGGAGCCCAGTCATTAATATATCCAATGGTCTTGAACAGAATGCTGTAAATAACAACATAGCCTGCGCAACCACTGCGAAAATGCAGTATACCAAATAAATATCCATCTATTGATGCGGAACACTTGTGGCTTTCCGAAAATCCTACTCTAACTTTCGTGACGGAGCACCCCAGAGTAGGATTCTTTGTTGATATCCCGTCCAAAATATGTTGACGTCCTCCCAGACCCGGAGCATGGCACCGTGGGGTAACATGATAAAATTCTCTCGTGAAGTAATAAGTCCAGCTTTATCAAAAGGGAATGCTGTTGCAGACCATGATGTGCGGAAAATATGAGGCCAACTTTTATGTGGAAGTTGTGTAAAGAAGGGGGAATATATCATGAGAGAAAAAACAGATGAAGAACCGCTGAGCCACAAACAGCTCTCCTTCAAATACAAGAAATATAAACACAGCCCTTCAATTGTGTAAGCAGGGTAGTTGGTTGCATATTTTATTGACATTCATGATCAATGTCGTCCGTCTTATGTTCAAAGCCTATGGCTTACTTGGACAACGCTGTCCGTAGGGAACGACATCAAGTGTATTTTTAAATACGTTATAGTCTTTAGAACTATCTAAACGATCGATAGATTAAATCGCACTATATGATTATGCAGAAGCGTAAAATGATAGTCTTCGATCTAGCAGCCAATCTAAGGCTTACTCATAAGGCCACCTTGTCGAGCCACTAAGCAAAATATCGATACCTAATCATCATTGAACTCTGAAGGAGCTTATCGGTCTCGGTGTAATCTACTATGATATTTCTTAAATCGACCATTCATCCACCAACGGGTATCACAAACAATAAAAACTTTCCAACCCAAGTAACGCCATAGTGTCTCACCTTGTGGTATCCACCGTGATTATAGCAGGCATCTCGCCTTGAGGCAACCTTCTTCTGCTCGATACCATCTCCCGCTTGACGCTACCCTTTCTTCACCTCGCCCATCCATTTCCCCATTGCTTTAGACCCCTCGTGTGCCGCCTTGAACAGCTGCCGTTCCGCTTCATCCAGACCCCTCAAAAACTCCACTCCTTCTCCTCCCCCTCTGTTATTTCTCTGTCCTACACTTCCACTACCTGCATGATCACTAATCTCACCAGCTCTTATCCTCCAACTCTCCATCAAAACATCGCATACCTCTTCTTCCTCGAACAGCTCCAAAACTCTTACACCCAATCCATAGAAATTCTGCGCCAGGTTGCGCAAGTCAACACTCTTAGGGTCGGCTTTCAATGCATTAAGAACGCGTGGGGCGAGACAAGCGGGTAGATCGAGGGTTACGAGAGACTTTTGAGAAGAGGGAGAGGAGGAAACAGCGAGAAGTTCAGCGAGCCATAAAGGAAGATCAACGCGAGTATGTTTTTTCAGGGGCGTGGCAGCATTATTATCAAGATAGCCTAGAGACGGAACATCGAGCTCGAATGTGCATGGGATTTTCTAGCATATATTAATACAATAACTTTTGAGTAAAAGGAGGGGTAAATACTTGAGCGTCTGTAAGAATCGTGTCAATATCGTAGTAGGACATTATTAAAAGCCACAAGTCTGCGGCTATAGATTAAACTTCACCTAATCCACATAATAAAACAACTTCTCAAAATCCAATGGTATGTTTGGGGGAGAGGGTGCGAACGACGATGATCTTGTTTAAATCGGCACCGCGCTTTTATTTGTGTTCTCATGGCTTATGTAATAAACAATGACATAATGCGACAGGGAGCTCCAAATAATAACTTCGGTAGCTTCCCCTCTTTCGCAAACGTTCGATTGATAACTGAAAGCCACGTCAGGAATTGAAGCAATACCAAACATCAAACGCTCAAATATTACTCACAATGTCCACTACACTTCTTCGCACATCTGCTGCAGCTCGTCCTGCTCTTAGAGCTAGCTCTTCCAAACGGGCTGCTTCAATGGCAAGCACAAGCTTCGTCCGTGGAAAGGCTACTCTTCCCGATCTTCCATGTTAGTTCCCTTTATAACCATATCCAGCCATCCAGGTACCTTATCAAATATGCTAATTTGAGATCACAGATGATTATGGCGCGCTTGAACCTTCCATCTCCGGCAAGATCATGGAGCTTCATCACAAGAAGCATCATCAAACTTACGTCAACAGCTTCAATACTGCGAGCGAGCAACTTGAGGCCGCTGAATCCAAGGGAGACATTGCTGCTGCCATTGCATTACAACCCCTCATTAACTTCCACGGTGGCGGACATTTGAACCACAGTTTGTTCTGGGAAAATTTGGCACCAAGCAAGAATGGTGGTGGTGGAGAACCTGCAGGTACTTTGAAGGTATGGCTACGATCCTTCTTTTAAAACACCTATAAAGCTTTAGATCTTAGGGCAATGACTAATCATACTATCTATAGACTGCAATTGAGACCAGCTATGGAGACTTCTCATCCTTCAAGACCAAATTCAACGCGGCATTGGCAGGCATTCAAGGTAGTGGATGGGCGTGGTTAGTCAAGGATAACGAGACTGGTCAAGTTCAAATCAAAACATACGCAAACCAAGATCCAGTAGTGGGCAAGTTTACTCCCTTGTTGGGTGTTGATGCTTGGGAGCATGCTTACTACTTGCAATACGAGAACAGAAAGGCCGAGTATTTCAGTGCTATCTGGGATGTGATTAACTGGAAGACTGTCGAGAAGAGATTGAAGTGAAGCAGGGATGAAGAAGACTAAAAAGGAGATACCTAAGCAGTCATTGAACGGATAATGGATGTATGATCAGTTGAAGCGATATTGCAGCGTTTTTTTGTAACCTTCAGATACTCAGGGAGTTATAATCCACAAACACATACTGTTTCTACGAACATAGTAATATTTAAATTTGCTAGGCAAAGTGATAATATTGTTTGGTTGAGATAATATTCCTCTATCCTATTCACACCACAAGAGGCCTGCTGCCCCCACTACCAACTTCCACCTACGAGTTCCAAGATAGTAAACAATCAAAAATGCCCTACTCTCTGAATAACTCTCAGGATATAACCTCCAAGCCCGAGATACCAAGAGCACAATAAATTCTAAGATTAACTCTCCACCTAGCATCTTTCCTCGCATCCGCAACTCCCTCCCCCTCCCTCTCCTCTCAAAAACTTTCCTCCAATTCTTAAGTGGATTAAGCCAATACCAAAACCGAAAGGTCATCAAACGAGACGCAGTAAAAAGCTAGCGTGAGTTATCCCAAATTCTCATCCGTATGATAACAGGGGTTGACCGAGTTATTTTGTTATTGGTAGTGAATGTCTGGTGATTAACCGAGATGCGACAAATTTCCCTCACCCAACGTGCCTGTGGTATAGTCACCTTGGCCTCGACATCGTTTGCAATGGTATGCTATTTGAGATTGATTCTGCAATCTCATCGATAAGGTAATTATTCGATTTTGACTCTTCCTTTTTCGTGATGCTCTTCATTGGATTAGAATTCGAGTCGCTGATGGATGCCAGGCCGAACTTTTCCATCCTGAGTCCTATACCAATGGAAAGCCGTAACTTCCACGCGCGTACTGATCTTTTATGGTATAAGTCTAAGACTTAACCTGCTGACAAGAATATTCGTGGCTATCACACGAATATAAAAAGGTCTCATAGAGTTCCGTCCTAACTGCGATGCTAGGATCGGAATCTCCAGGGACCGGAGTAGTACTCGAAGAGCCGCATACTATATGCACTCCAAGAGATCTACACTCAATAAAGAACTCGACACTTGAAACAGTATCGTTGGAAGTCTTATCGCATACGACGTTTTCTATTTTGAGAAAATAATGGTTGTAGGTATTTGTAAAGAGAAGACATCCACAACCTCCATTGAAAGTTAGGCTTGTGGTTGTCAAAACAACAACCTCTTACTTCCTCTGGCGACTTCTCCCACGTCCTTTAGAGCTCTATATAGGCTTTGGTCAGTCTACCCGTGCAAGGAACCCTGGAAACATCGTGTGAGGGGGGAAACTTACATCATGTGATTTACAGTCATGTGAGTTTTGAGTAACATGTTCTTCCGCCATACATCGGTTTTCTTCATACAGCATGTTTAAAGGTTTTCCATCGAAAGTTAAATCAGAGTCGTTGATACTATACGGTAGCCTCCATGGTTCTGCCTGAAGATCAAATTCAGTGTTCGCGTTATTGGTGGCCGTGACATTTGTGATCAAAAAGTACTGTCTGCCGTCGGCAGAGGTATTATTTGTATGAGTTCTCGACATGATGGGTTTGAAAGAAAAGAAATTAAGAATTTGATTTTGATGTTTAATCTGCGATGGCTCAGTGCAATACTAAGTATTTGATTAGAAAACGAGGCTGATATTTATTTTGTTTGCTTAAGATGAGTTGGCAATGTTGATGTTGAGTTGTTGATTTTGAATGTGCAACATTAGACTTCAACAGCAAGCTGGAACACGATGGATACCCAACACATATATGTAAGAAGGGAAATGGTTATGAGGTTATGTATTTTAAAATATTACTCATATTGGGCAGTTCACTGGATTACACTCTCCGAATTGAGAAGGCCAGATGATAATCTTCAAGGTTTTGTGTCTGGCGGGATACCTAGGTGATGCTTCGGCCCAACTGTGAATGTGTCAATGCAGGTGTGACCTGACTGGGAAATAATCATGGATAGGCATTTACTGCAAAATAAAACTTTGTGGAATATCGCATTCCTGACTCGTCACGACGTCCTGTCGGCCCAGTCTTTGATAGTGGCGTAGTGCTCATGTTGTACGATATGACGGAAATGTATTACCGATATTACCGAACAGGAAAAGCCATGATCGAAAGCCAAGCTCAAAGAAGATGACTCAGCTTAGTAAACGACCAACAGCACCTGCACGCCTCGATCTCTTTCGTAAAGAACACACAAAGGAGAGACACCAAGGTATAATTTGACTGGACACAAAACTCCTTTTACCGGAACTCTGTCTCTTTATCTTTCAACATGTGATGATAAGATCCGGAATGCCCTAACTGAGATATTGATATCGAATTTGTTTCAAACGACCTAGCTCAAAACCGGGAAACAAGGGGCTTAGCAGAGACAGCTGATATCGTGACGATACATTATGACCTGTAGGCTCCCTTTCCCAATCGCCAAAAAAGCCGTCGGAACCGATGTAAGATTGGCAATTCTGCACTCCGCCATTTCATCTATTTCGGTACCAGATTAAACCAGATATTATCAAAAGCCTTCATCTGTCAAATCAACTTCCTTGCTACCCCTCCATTCGGGCAATAATACCTCACCGCTTACCCCCGCCTTGCGATAAATTATCTGGGGAAGTTTCAGTCTCAACTGCCAATAAATATATAGCCGCAGTCATAATCAATATTTGGTGGTAGCCAGCCTCAAACCCATTGCACTATTGGAAACGTATTGATATCCTCCACATCGCGAAATCGGGTCAGCATCATATCTTCCACAAACAACCAAACTCTGGATCGTGAAAAGATATAGCCTTCGGAAAAGCGAATCATTACTGTCCACATGAGCTCTTTTACATCTATATGATATTGCTAGCGTAGCATCTCGTTACCTACGATTCTACCGGTACTATTCACAATCAAGCATTTCTTCATTGCTTAGAATCAAATCCTTCCTAGGAAAGCCTCCTTCGGTCCGTCTTATTACGGCCGGCCAGTACAAATGAAAGCGACCAACCAAGGAAAATTACTCTCATCAAAAGCGCCTTTTCAATGCACCCACAGTCCATTACATTTATATTTCCTCGTTTCTTTTTGTCATTCAAACTCGGTATGTTTATCGTCGCATCCGCATTCTCCATCTAGATTTCCCATCGTGTATGTTATTTTCATGGCAAGACAATGGCAAAGTTCGCCCGTCTCGGCGATAAGTTGTTGACATCAATATCAACTTCAGAAACGTAAATGAATTACCATTTACGTCCTGTTCTATGGATTTTTCATCTCTGTAGTGTTTCGAGTGCGCAAAATACTGGATCAATGCTTTCTTTCTCAATCGCTCATGCGATGAAGACAATAATTATGTATATCAAGAAAGCATCAAGCTCTTACGCTTTTGCAGCCCAAAACTTGAAATTGCGCATGGCAATGATTTTGTGGTATTATTACGAAATGTAATCTTACCTATAAGGCTGAGCCAGATTGCAGGTTCAGCGACAACTGCTTCTGTAATGATTATAATCTGGCGGATTTACTGCGGAATATGATCGACCTTCCCTGTTTTAACATTACTCATATTGATCCAATCAGATGCTACATTTTTCAACTCCGGAGCTATCTCCGTAATTCGAGGAATAATCACGCCACAATTATCTCACTCATCATCGCAGCTTTTTGTGACAAACGAAGTCTTAATTTTGATTTCTTACTGCAACGTTGCCACGATCTTGTCAGTTACGTCATTGTCGTTCTTTATCTCTTGATTGTTACTCGGAAGTCGAAAACTTTGGTGTTGTTGAGTTTAGACATTGGGAAGTTTTAGTAATGATGCAAGGTCTATACTTAATGCTTGAGTGTATGGACTTTTATTGTTCGTCGGGGAATCTTTCCTGATTCTATCCTGATGCAAGAAGCTGTGAAAAGAAAGCTTCTCGCATGGGGTGGTGCCACTTACTAATGCTTCTCTATCTGCATCTCAACCAAGTACTTTGACATTCTTGCAATTCGTGACAAGCATTGGCATACTTTACGAGTTATATCTTGAACGCAGATTTGTTAATTGATCATTAATTAGTCTTCGAGTTTACAGTATCGGCTTCCCTTGGTATGTATGGAAGTCTAAGGATTGATTCTACAAAACCCATTTGCGCTCTACCAGTACCTTGATGGGTTTGTGGAGAGGCATGCATTTTGCTGTTTAGTTTATATGGCTTTCAGTATGATATTCAACCTTAACCTAGTATCCCGTGTCATTCATGTGTAATTGTGAGTATGACGATTCAGTGGTTTTCGATGGTGTTTAACTTTCTTTTCTGTACATAAGAAAATGAAACAGCAAATGCAAGTGCAGCTCTAGTTGTAAACATCATTACAGCGGCTGCATCGAAAGATACCAGTGAATCTTAAGACTCGCACTGTCTGAATGCGAATAGATTTGAATAGGTATTGCTGCTTACTTGTGCATTTGACTCAAAAAACTTTTTTGTCAATTCTGGAGTTATAAAATTTTAGCTTTCGCCTGAATGTTGTGAGTGTGAAAAGCCATGTTGTTTCTTAGGGGTATCTCGGAAGGGCTTGAGCTGCTAAGGGTCTCAATCGCTATCTCTGATTACACGTTAAAACCCAACTATTTCTCTTGCCATCAACCCAATATCCTGCAAGTATTAAATAACTCGAGATTTTAAATCTCAGCCTAGCTTCTTGAGCTACCACTATTTCCGTTTTCACTAGGTCAACTATAAAGTAATCTTCTTCACAAACTTCAAAGTATTCTGCATCTTTCAAGGATTCTTCTTCGAATTTCTCATAGGTTCTTTTTTCTTTGAAGGCCTTGCGTCTCAGCTGTTCTCTTACTGTCTTTGCCCCTTTTGTTGCTTTTTGACCTTGATCTTCGATGATCCTGCACGCTGAAGCCCTGGTATTCTTTGTGTTGTCTTGGAGCTGGAGTAATTTCGGGGCTGCAGCAGAAGTACGAAAGTTTGGGTTTTTCTTCGGATTATACTCTTCGGGGTGTCTGAAAGTGGAAAGTCTTAAAATACCCTCAAGATTTCAAAATCTTTAGCTTAACCCGGATGTTGTCCTGGTTTTATAAATGATAAAGAACTTTGAAGCTTATTCACAATGGCATTTTGCGATCTTGAGGTATCTTGTTATGGAAGAGTGGCTAATTGACCGGGGAAAATTATGTTAAGGCGCTAGCTTCACAGTTGATTCTAGTGGATTCACGGCGATGTTATTACATGGAGCCGGGATAACTTCAGCAGATTATGATCCAATATGGTGATGTACGGCCTTTTGGATTTTTCTGGTGGTTGTGATGGGCCGTGTATTTTTTGCAAAGTAGGGAATAATTTGGGGAGTGCGAGATTTTTGAGATTTTTGCTGCTGCTAACACGACTCTTATACTGCAAAAGTGTAACCGTTCTGGGCAAGTAGCCCTAATTCAATCTGCTGTGGGTTTGGTATTGGAGGTGGATTTTTCGGACTCATTTTAAGGTCATGAGTAACTGGAAAATCAATCTTTCATCACGTCGTATTCACATGAAATTATTCCTCCATTGATTCATTTTCCTTTGAAAATTGTGCGCAGCTCATATACTTTTACAGCATATCACCTATGTACTCCGCGGTGCTGCCGATCGGACTCACTTCTTGAGGTATATTAATCATTGAAATTTTCGAAATAACTGACTGTCCTCACAGAACTCAGAATTACCATGCTTCATGCGACTTGCAACTTTGGAAAGTATCACAATGATTTGAAGCTTTATTATGATTTTGTATAGACGGTGTGGATGAAAAGACTGCTTTTGGGTAGTTATCACTTGATTTCTCTTTTGAATTTCAACGGTTCGGGTACTTATTTCGTGTTCCTAGCTTGTGTGCTGCACTGGTGTCTTGATATTTCATTTTGCGAATGGTAGAATGGGACTTGCGGATATTGTCACGCTTCTCAGTCATCACATCATTGAATTCGGAACTTTTGAATGGTGTTTGAAAATCTCGCATTTTTGCAGATAGCTAAAACCTGTGGATGTGGGAAAACATTTACTACTCAAAAGGAAATGTTCTCCCTAACACGATGGCCTGAAGTGGTGCCCTTTATCTCTTTCTCCAGCACCTAATCCATTCTCTCCTTTCCCTTTCCCTTCTCCCCTTTCCCTTTCCCTTCTCCAAACTTTCAAGCCATTCCTTACGAACCTCCTTATGTATTTCCAATACCAGATGCCCAGAAATACATTTCAAATAATTAACTGCGCTTTCCCGATCATACTGCATGCCCTTATGCTCAGTCTCCAAATACCCCCGACACTTCCCAATGAAAATCATAGGCAATTGTTCTCTAGCAAAATCGTAGAATCTCTTCTCGCTATCGGTGGTAGCGCACTCAGAGCATTTGAATTCAATGAATTTATAGTCCTTGTTCTCGGGTGCGCTGGGAAACTCCGGTTCGTATTTGACATAGTCGAAGCAGAGGAATTCTTTTTCCACCTCGTGTTTGAATACGTGCCATTGTGGTTGAAGGTCAAGTCGGATATTCGTGGTTAGTACTTCGCTGTGGTTGCATTCTGCCGTTGCGCAACGCAATGTGACTACGGTGGTTACGGTGTTAAGCTCTTCGAACAAGTTTGAAAACGACATTGTTTTGGTGCTTGGTGGGGGATGTCTGTATGAAATGTTAGGTTTTTGTTGACCTCCTGGGATCTTGGCAGCATATGCATATATATTGCATGATGCATATAAGGAGCAAACAAAACTCAACTTTTAATTCATTCTTTCCTTTTTGGTATACTGTTTGTTTGCTTTCAATATTTTGATTTCATAGCACTTTTAATTCCGAAGGCTGAATACCTAACCTTATTCCTTCATTTTTTGAATATATACTCGCAGCTTAACTGCTTAGCTAGAGAATCAATCAATTCAATCTGATGCTCTTTCTGGTCTCAAGAAACCCAATAGTTTTTGTCTTGTGAGATTTAAGGGGGAGTTGATCATTAGTATGCACACTTTGATAGTTCGAGGAGGGAATGCTTTATGTGTGTGTATGAGTACTTGCGTGGGATATCGTTGATGCTTTGTTTGGTTGTGTAATTGGAAGTGGAAGTGGAAGGAGGTTTGATGTTGAAGTTCTTGAAAAGAAAAGGAAAAAAAGAAACAGCGGGAGCTGAACCCTTTTATACACCCAGAAATCATTATTGAATGATTATCCGCGCGACAATCATGACTATGTGGATTAAATAGATGGTATTGAAATTATAATATGACTGGAAAATATCACTGATTTTTGAGTTAGACAAGTTGACTATTGCCCGCCTCTGACTTGCAAAGGAGTTATTTACTTGAGGATTCTCATTAATGAATATATATTATGATTATATCTCTGATACTTATATTCATAGTGCAAATACTCTGTCATACTCATACTACCGAAGCATTAAGGATTGATACGCAAAAATAATCTTATGTGGAATCGATATGAAAAATCACAATATTAATATTGAACCAAAGATAGATATTAATATCAGCTTGCTTGCATATATACACTTCCTCATAACAACACTATTTTTTTTGGTTGGCTTGGTTTGGTAATCTTAATCTCAAATTCTCACATTTAATTATTAGGGACATAAAAAGATGAATATTAAGCTCCAGTCATAGCACATCTCAGTGCTCACAGCCATTTTCTCCAGCTTCCGCGCCCCTGATTTCTTCCCACACTCTCCCCATCCTAACTTTTATCCAGAATATACTAATCATCAATCAATCAATCAATAATAACATCACCCAAATCTAGCTTCATGTGCAGGATAATTGTATATAAACATAACACACATAAAACATTAAAGATATCCAGTTAATTATCCAAGTGACTAAGTTATGATATGATATAATATAGTGATTTTGGAATATTATAGATTATCTTTTATAAATTTCGTAATAAATTAATTCCTTTTTGGTGAGTGTTTCTTCTGAATAGTTTATCTCGATGCCGCTCATTGAGAAATTTGGAAATTGGATTTCTCTCTTGGATTAGTATTGCTTTTGATATATTTCGTGTATACGAAAAAAATTTCATCTCTTATTTTTGGTTTCTATCTTATATGATGTTGGTTTATGAACGGAAGTTAATGAGTACCTAGTTTTAGTAGTGAATCATTTGTTTTGAAAAATCTCGCATTACTTTAGAATATATACTATCCTAATTCTTTCACTAGTTCCACGCTAAACCCTTTCTTTACTCCTCAGAATAAATTAACTCTCTTCTGGTGCTCCCTGGGCCTAAAATCACCCCATGACTATCACTGAGGGAACCCGCACTCCCATTCCCTCAACTTGCACAAAATTCCCGCCTTTCCATTCCCATACTATATTTACGAGATCGACGACAGGTCGATCTGTCACTTTCAAAAAATCCCAATTTGGAACCATTTCGATGTAGTCATCGCTCTTGATGCGTTTCTCCTTTTTCTTCTCAGTTACCTTGATAAACTCGCCTAGAGCCATAAATCCCTTTGCTTCTAGATCGGCCTGAGCTTTTGCAGCTTTGTAGTATATTTTTGTTTGGGCGTTTCGAATATTGCTCAAATACTCATGTCGCCGCTTGGAAGTACCTATTCGAGGCAAAAAGGCAGGAGCTTGGCCTCCAAAACGAAACTCCGGTCTCGGAACTGTTTGATTGCTACCCAGTTTCACGAAACCAGGCTGATTCCGTTCGGCATCCGTCAAGCCTTCTTGTAACCTCCTAATCCAGCAAACTCTTCCACTGATACGAATATCCTCATGGCCTTCTCCTTTTGGTCTTAATCCCCAGCGGCCCAGATTGTCGAAAGCTTCAAAGTAAGCCTTGGTGATCATTTCTGCCTCTTTATTAAAGGCCCTCTTGATTGAAGTGTACGTGCCATTTGCTTCATTCTGATTGCAATGCGTACAAATTCTCGATTGCTGCTTTACTACGATTTCCACATATTCGCCCTCCCCTACTTGTATTAAATCACCCCCACCCTCGCATGAACAAGCGAATAATACCCAGACACCGCGGGGTCCTACGTAAGACATGATGAAGGAGTTTCGGCTGTTATCTTTGTTTGAAGAGATGTCTATTATGGTTTAGCTTTGAATGCATGTCAGTCTTTGAAGAATCATAAGAAGGGATTAATTAATACATACAATATCGACTTAGGATAACGATATTCAAAGCCAAGGAATTCCGTAGCAATACCGTCCTCGATGAAGGGTAGTTGAGTAACGAAATATATTGTTTCAGCGACTTCCAATAATTACGGATTTAGTAAACTTGGAAACACTTACGTTATCGGCTTATTAGCCTCCTGGTCCGAAAGTTGCTTGCTATTGGTGTATCTGGGTGATAAAGAGCGATGGTGAAAGTGGATATTGGGTTCCTCCGTTGATAAGAAAGTGCATGGAAAAGAAAAGCAGAGGGAATGAAATGATGGAGGACTTCAAGGTCTTTTATGTCTTTTCTGCCTGTAGACAGATGACACCTTGTAAATGACTAGAATAATCAAGTCATGATGAATGACATTAATTAATTACGACTCCTAATTTAAGTTAGTCTCATCAGCGGAAAGCGTCACAAGAAATACGAAATTCTTGGACATAAAAGGGAAAAGAATAACATTGTCTAATATTCCCGCTTTCATGGTTCTTTTCTAGACACCGGATGCAAAAATGATAGTAAATCTCGGTCAACATCCAGATTCATGGAGCATAGATGAGGATGGCCCTTTTCTAATTAGACGACACATATTTCTTACTTTTATGCTATGTTCCTCTTCAGCAGGGCCGTTGCGTTCTGTAGGTAATGTAGAACATCTATTCTCATCATCAGTATTCAGGTGAATTCTCAGACATACATGTGAAATTTATCTGTCCAAATGAGTAGTGATACCTGTGCTCACGGATGAATTCGCCCGACTTCCACTCACAACATCTTGCATCACGGCTACAGTCGCTTGAATACCTGCTGAAGCCGGAGAGATAGCGAGTTTATCAGCTTTTTACGTAGCCCTTCCGCGATTCACATCAGTGATGCAGGACTGATTGTTGATGCCGCGAAATCTTACACTAACGATCCCCATGGGATAAGGTCGCTAGATCTTCGCCTCGCTCCTACTCGCGATCCTGGTAGGGGAAAGATTATGAGGCGCCTGCGGTGAATGTGGACGAAGTTTCGAGATTAGTTGTCCGAATTAGTGCACGTGAGGTAATGATGGTGCTGCTCAATAGTATTATTCTAGATCGGCCGAGAAAAATCACCAATTTAGATAGTAGAGAGAGCGCCCAAGAAACAGCTCAGATTGTAGACGGAGGTGAAGGTCCCTTGAGCATTTGGCGATGGATATCCCATGGTTCGGGGGAAGTCATCACCAACTGACACATTTTCAAAGACGCCTTGACCCGATTAGTGCTCCGGCAATCAGTAATAATTCTGACAGGATAATCGTTTGGTCGTAATCATAGAAAACCAAAATTGTCAGATTCCAATGGCTAAACAGATGAAGAACTTTCATCAACTTTATACCCAACGCACTTCCATACGCATGCCACCCCTCATGCAGCTTAATGCTCCCACACGAACCAGATGCACACTGTCAATCATCACCAGCCAAATTTTTTTGGCAATAGATAATCTCCATCCCATGTTTGACAGATATAGTGAATCCAAGATAGCGGAACAAGTCCTTTCTTGATCAGTGGCTAGCAAAATCGCGGGGACCTCAGATTGCGGCAGATTCTAGCGGCGACCAAGCGGGGTCTTTTGAAGACTCAAAGGTACGCATCCAGTAGGTTGATTTATGTCGGAAAGCCTTCCCTTTCACGAATTCATACGCCATTTTTTGTTTCTTGATGTTGATGTTATCTCGGGCTAGTTAGTGGTTGGCGGAGTAAAGTGGGGGAACGCTTCGTGGGGTAAGATCAAAAGGACCCAATGTCTACCGTGTAGCAGGGAACTAGATAGAACACCTTCCTGTATAAGCTTAAATTTGACGTCGAATGATCATACTTATAACCAATAGAATCGATTACTTCTCATAAATCCACTTTATTTATTTCGGCCCACCTTAAAGATCCACCGTATCTAGTATAGATCTTCACGACCTATACCCCTTCCATATCTTGAATAGCCTTACCCGTAAGTCTACGCCAGAATTGGAGTGTGATGCAGAATTTCTGGCCGCACGAGTGTTGAGCTAACAAAAGCTGAGAGTTCTTCATGCTTAGCTCATTAAGCTATTCTGTTTGTGCAGCTTTCAAGCGTCACATCGTTCCTGCCGTGGTAGCATCTTCCCATCATGTAAAATAATCCACATGAATGCCCCATCCGATCGCAGCGTAGTATTATACGTATGCCAAGATCGCGCTTCTATCATTATACTTTATGCTTAAATATCCTGCTGGGTCCCCTTTACATTCAGGACGATTCAATAATACTTGAGCTTGCGCAAAATGGCGATGAACGTTCAGTCCAAAACTGCGATTGTCACTGGAGGAGGTTCTGGCATCAATTTTTGTTTTGCAAAATTGCTACTCAGCCGAGGATGTAATGTCGTCATTGCAGATTTAGCTCTGCGTCCAGAAGCACAGGAATTGGTTTCGAAATATTCCGCATCTTCGAATGGAGCAAAAGTCGTGTTCCAACAAACGGATGTGACAGAATGGGCACAGTTGGAGAAAATGTTCGAAATAGCAATCGAGCATTTTGGTGGTGCAGATATCGTTTGCCCGGGAGCTGGCATATTTGAACCAGTTTGTTCCCACCTTTTTGCTTTAAAAAAATATGTTAATTAAAAGTGTAGCCATTTTCGAGTTTTTGGATCCCTCCCAATAACCCTCCTTCAGTTGATAAAACCTCCGAGTCGAGGTACAAAACACTTGACATCAACATCACACATCCCATACGCACGACCCAAATGGCGATAGGGCATTTTATGAAACGAAAGAAGCCTGGAGTTGTTATTCATGTATCCAGTATCGCCGGCCAGATTGCATCCTTCCCGAGCCCGATGTATGTCGCCTCAAAACATGCCATATCAGGTTTCGTTCGTTCATTGGCACAGTTGGAATTTCCCACTCCAGATATCCCAAAAGTACGTGTCAGTGCGGTTGCACCGGGTCTAATCAAGACTCCACTATGGACAGATCATCCCGAAAAAATGGCATTTCTCTCCAAAGAGGATCCGGAAAACTCGTATTGGGTAACTCCTGAATCTGTTGCCGAGAGGATGCTAGAACTTGTCGAAAGTGAAAAGTATCTTGGGGGAACAATTTTAGAAGTTGGAAAAGGGGTGAGGAAAGTGGAAGCCTTCAATGATCCAGGGCCTGTAGAGGAATTCAAATCAGCCACTTATGTATCTCGTGAGATTTTGGAGGCTAATATATGGGCATCTTTGGAGAGACAACACCGAGACTAAGCAGTCACATTGAACATTTGAGGACCATCCAGGAGAAGAACAATAGAATTGATTCGAAGAACTTCTTATTCAATTACCGATTTGACCGAGGCGTATTACGAGTGAAAATGTACCACATTGTCTAGGCACTTGTTACAGAGCTGAACTAGGTATCTAGTGTAAGACAACAACTTCTCTCATATGATAATCGTCATATTACGCTGTTTCCATGCTGATCCTTCAATGTAAATATGAAGCCAGCCGCCGCCCCATATGGATAAGCCAAGAAATAGTCATGAACTACTCTCAAGTCTCTCAAAGTCACATCGATGCCTGTTTGAAAAGCAACACCCCCAGATGTGCTAAGAAACATGCTTCCCACCTTCACCACCAATTTTTGAGGAGCAGATTTCCCTTCAAAAGCAACAACAAACAGAGCTCCTTTCCAATCATGCATCATCTTTCCAGCTGTGATGGAATTAACAGATTGCGTCATCTTTGACACATCAGATCCAAAGTTACCCCGTATGTAAACAGCCCACGTGTGGCTAGTGTTTCGTGCTCGCTAGATTTCCTGCGGCTTGATCAAAAGTTGTTCGTAATGCCATCGATCTTCCGGGCCATGAGGGAGAAAGTCGTCAACGTACGGCGCATCGAAAAGCCCTTCGACGTCAGGAATTTTGGTCTTCTCAAAGCTCACCCAAACTAGTTTTGGGGACACGATATTGGGAGGAAAAAAAATGCCAAGTTTATGAATGGGGCTTGGGCATGGAGGCATTGTGGTGATCTTTTTGCAAAGGGTTTTGTGAAGGGGCCAATCTAAGGTTTGGCATGTAGATGAACAATAAGCGGCGGCTTTACAGCGTGCACAGTCTTTTGCTGGGAGATTCCAAATGGTACAGGTTGATGCAGATGGATCTCTTGAACCAACTTCAAGGTTGTTTGTAGATGCCGTATCTTGAATTCTTTGTGATTGCACACGGAAGCAGAGGTGTGAAGAGTTCTGAAGATGTAGTTAGTAAGAGATGTTTATGAGCCAAAAAGATAACAATTACCTAGCACAAAGATAGAGAAATAGAAGAAGCTATGTGCCCAAAATGGATTTTGATATCACTTCTATCCATTGTGCTTGGGATATACTGCAAACGAAATAAAATCCCCAAGGAGTACACTTCTTTTAACACTCGAGATATGATTCATAATTAAAAAGAAGGACTTACTACGGCTATCTTTGATACGTGCGAGCTTCAAGAGCAAAAAGATGCAAACGAGCGAATATTGGCGAATAATGATTCAGTGACCGTTGAAGGGCGGTAAGTCACATTCAATTTATTGTCGGGGTAAATCACGTGATATCGTGTAACGGAACTTTTAGGCACGCGAAACGGTACAACTTAAGACCAAATACAACCATCGGGTGTTCGCAATTGAAAAACGTAGAATATATTTAAGATCCTGCGAACAACTACTACCTTAAACTGAAACCGTTCGTGGAACAATTCTAGGAAAGTGTTTGGTAGCCAAAACTTTTACAATTTTACAAGTATTTGCGAGGAACCAAGGTATTCGAATCCAGCCTCAACTGTATAGGCCTCCTCATATCGACACTAGTCTTATTGGTATCACAAATTGACCTGTGAGTTCAAAATGGCCACGCTATCGACTTTGCATCTATTTCCACTTGTTGCATAGAGCTAACGACTTTTGAGTAGTTTACAGTCACCATTTCCTTCTGATTCGTGAATCGCGTCACGCAACTTCGAAAAGATGGTTGTACTCGACAAACTTCCGAATATGGACGTTACTATCGAAATAAATGGAGCGGAAGTTCAGGAATACAATGACGATGAGGAATTAGAGGTTGGATCGGGACCGATTGCCAATCATCAAGCCCTCAGAACAGTGTCCAGATATATTGAAGCTATTGATGGTGCTGAGTTTAGCATTAAATTCTTTGCGTCACCCCAATTCAAGATGAACTCGCCGAATCTCCAAATAGACATTTCAGTTGACGGCAATCTTTCCGAATCAACATTGTTTGGACTAGTTCAAATAGGACTGCCTCTGATAGTTGATGGTCCAATAATTTTCCACCCATCATCAAGAGATGGACCAGAACGATGGGCAGTACGAAAGTTTAGGTTCTCGAAGCTTGATATCTGTACTTTACCTTAATTTCACAAATCTTAATCCTGCTAATACATGTGCTAACATTATGTAGCAAGTGAGGAGTCTCGACTCTCAACCTTGAACAAAGACACGGCTGAAGCCGAAAAGGTTGGTACAATTGAAGTCAGAATATGGCAAGTGTCCGCAGGGACACCAGTAGCACCCCGTGCGACTGAACATAAAATTAGCGCCGACAATAAGTTTCATGAAAAGGCGCTCAAAGGTCAGGCCAAATCCCACAATGTCTCGTAAGTTGGATGATAACCTCGATGCACCCATCATCCGGCTTATAGTTTTAGGTATTCTGGAGAAACCCCTTATTCTGCTACAAAAAAGGTTATAGTAGAAAAAATCGATGGCAACGATTATCCTATAGCCATATACAAGTTCAAATACCGGTCCAAAGGTACAGTGCAAATTGGTTGAGTAGAGATTCATTACTAACTTCAATACAGAATCTCTCAAGCAGTTATTCATCATTGAGCGAACTCCCGAGTTGGAGGACACCCCAGCCCCGGACCCAGAATTAGACGTTGACCTCGAGAATTTGTCAACTGCTCAACGGGAACGACTCAAGGCGTTTCTACGCGTTGAAGGCATTGCTGTAAGTAGCTAGTGATATCACCTCCATACATAGGCTGACTTCACATTAGGACCGTTCATCCAACACTCCTGAGAGAAAAGTCAAACGCGAGCGGGATAATGGAGAAGGTAGTGCAAACCAAGCACGACGAAAGAAGTCTAAAACTACACAGTTCGTTGATCTTACTGCCGATTCTGACGAAGATGAGTAGAAATGGATCCTCATTTCAGATATCTAAAGCCGCAGAGATTTCACTTTAATTTTTCTTGTGGCGTCCAGGAGTCCGTCATTGTTCGATCTTTGGTTGATCAGATATACCCTATTTACTTCTTAGGCGCGGGGAGATATTCATCGGGGACAATGGCGCGATGGAGGTAATGTAGGAAATGATTTATTGTTCCATCTAGTCCGGCGGACTTTCATGCAATTATGGTTATTTTCTTTGTATCTTAGTATTACAGATCTCAAGCATTTATTGTGTAATCTGTGACCATAAAGTTTGAACGAATAGTGGTAAACTTATGTGCATGTATTCTCAATACCATACAAAAGCTACACACTCGGTAAATCATTCATTATACAAGTACCAAGTTAAGGTATTTAAAAGATAGGAATAGATTAATTCAAAAAGTCCTCAGAGATAACCTCGTTACCATTCAAACGTATTCCACGCTTCCAGCAAAACTGCAGAGATACTCCAATTATCACAAAGTGAAGTAGAAGTACTAAACCACAGATTATAGACTAGTTGGTAAATGCTTTCATTCGAATTATCACTGTTAAGTTTATAGCAGACGAGGAAACTTTGTATATATGGTTGTGCTGAATAAGGGTTTTGGATACTAAATGTGTTTTATCCAGATGTGATGTTGTGATATCATGGATGGTATCTTAATATTACGAGTAGTGTATTGAATTGTAACGATACTGTACTGGAGGCAGCGACTGCCTGAGGTTTCGTCTGGTTAATAGTTGTGGGTTAAGGCTTTATCACTGGTATTCACTTGGAAGTGAATTCGTTACTTCATCAAGTAGAATGTAGGTAAACTAATTGATAATTAAGTTGAGCACGAAGCTCCTTAACTACGAGACTAAATGAATGTTTATATACCCTATATCATCTTTTGAGGACCTCTGGGACCCTAAGGTCCAAAAGGTCCTCGAGGTCACGTGAATTAATGAATCGTGACATGAATCTTAGATCCCTTTTTATGCTATCTATAGAGTTAATAAATCTAATACTGTAATTTCGAGCCACCTTTATTTTAGCTTACTTTTCTTCATCAAACGCAATGAAAATTAACATTTATAGTTTTTTGTTACGACGGGCTACACAACTACCAAGACACGTGATCACAAATGATCAATAGTGATCATTAAGGATCACTAAGGATCACGGTATAGGTGATCACTGATGATCATTAAGGATCACTAAGGATCACGATATAGATGATCACTAATGATCATGAAGGATCACTAGTAATCATGGAAGCATGAAGGACTATATAGTCAAGATGGATTTCCTTTGTATAGAGCTTCGTGCTCAAGATCAATCATTTAGTATATCCTACTATTAGTTACGAATTGCATATCATCATTGTCATTACTTAAGTCCCTGCTTGACGCCTAGTTATAAACCACCTCGAGAGCCTAGAGCACTTCCACGTGATCTAGACGGCAAACCTCGTAACATATACATAGAAATATCTCAGTGATCGAAGTGAGGGGAAGCCAAGTATTGCTTCCTTTTGGTTCCTTCCTAGTCCGGATTAGAGTTTGAGTGAATGTGAGAGCCATCGCATGATCACGCGCCTCATGTATTAATTTGCAAACGGGTGCACTAATTTCATTTTCATCTCATATTATGTTCTTAATTCACTATTTACATGCTGATCTATAATACTTCTAGAATGAAAGTAGAGATTTCATTCTAGCTATATATGAATCTAGAAGATTGATACTTTCTTTCATTCCCTTCGGACTGATCCTGTCTTCAGTTGAGCTGCTATTAGTAATATAGAACCTGTTGGGTTTCTTAAGGCCAGAAAGAGTATCAGATTGAATTGATTGATTCTCTAGCTAAGCAGTTAAGCTGCGAGTATATATTCAAAAAAATGAAGGAATAAGGTTAGGTATTCAGCCTTCGGAATTAAAGTGCTTTGAAATCAAAATATTGAAAGCAAACAAACAGTATACCAAAAAGGAAAGAATGAATTAAAAGTTGAGTTTTGTTTGCTCCTTATATGCATCATGCAATATATATGCATATGCTGCCAAGATCCCAGGAGGTCAACAGAACCTGTTCATTCGCCAATAACTCGGGACCTCAACTATCTTCATATAATGATTTCCATGAACTCTCAAGTTCACTCATAGCACTCATTACTCTCCTTCCATGATTCTATTACATAAGATCTTAGACACAAGCTTTTTCACCACGTATTTCCCAATCGAAGCCATAAAAGTCAAAAATCCATTTACTCTATTCTTCACTCGCATAAGACTCTTCATGCCCTGACCCAGCTCTCGTTTATCTCAAAGCGAGGCTTCTAATCTTTGACCCATACATTTATTAGTCCTTAGAGTCATGATATATAAAAGCACAAAGCCAAAACTAAAAATGCATATTTAATATAACGATCCCCAACTCCGCTTTTAGAGCTCATTAGATTTATACCCACTTTGCTTTTTACGAGAGCATTTTTGTTTCCTCATAAACGAATCATAACAATTTCCGGCGGTGTTGGACTCGGTCTTTCTTTTCTCTTCTTCAAATCTTCATCTCAACAGCAATTAGATGTCCCTCCACTCTCCACAATCCCAGAATTTGTCCCTACAGACAATCCATTCAGAATACCCAGATACTCTAAATCTCCCGCGCTAAAATCCTCCTCAAAGCTTCTTCCCATTATATCTCCACCCGATCCCTCAAACTCCACCCTATGTTCCGCAAACGCCCCATGAATCGACATACTCCCCGCTCCTCTACTCACTCCTGGTGTACTCCAGCTATTCCTCTCCACACCCAAACTTGTATCCGCCGATACTCCTCTGGCAATAATCTTCAGTTCTCTTTCCGTTCCCCTCGCGCCCTCCCAAACACCTGCTAATACCTTAATAGCGCCTAATCCCAATCTTATCCTATCTCTCGCCATCCTCCATTCAGTGGATTCTTTCCCTTCACGTTCACCTCTGTTTCCATCTCCCTTATTATCATACACATATGCACATGCGCTTAAATTTGCTAGCGTTGCCTTTGTGATCCCACAGATACCTAGTGGCGTGTGCAATAATATTGGACTTGGGAGTGCATATAGATTTAAAGCAGTTTGAGCGGCTTCGATGGTTTTCTTGGTGTGCAACCAGCGAGTTAGATCTTCGTTGTCAGTTGGGGGAGATGTAGGTGGTGGTCGTGCGCAGCGGGAAATTTTCTCAAGAGGTGAATGATAGAGGCGTGAAAGGCGGCGGTGGATGACTACTAAAAGCCTATGTAATTCGGTTAGCATGGTTTGTTTACATTAAATTAGCTCATAGAAAGAGACTAATGCGAAGCGAGCAAAACATACGTCTGTAACAAATTTTGTGCTTGAAATAACAACTCATCTACTTCCTCGTTCTTATCCACTACCCCTTGCTTTTCAATAGGTAAATGAAGTTTCCAATTAACAAGCATAGCGTCGGCATTGGTAACAGCGGGTTCAAGATTCTTGCCTGTGATATTGTTGATGCTAAGAATGGTGCCAATGATACGGACAAGGTCAATGAGGTATGTAAAAGAAGAGAAGATTGGGATTTCGTCTTCGAAATCACGGGAATCATATTCAGAAAGGGTTCGAGGTCGTGGAATATGCTATAAAGGATCAGAATTTTCACCCATGTGTCTGGAGAAATGTAAGGTAAGTGGTAAAAATATTACATACTCCACTATCAAACTCGTGATCTTCACAAGGTAGATCTACGTGTGTTTCAACTGCGGATAAGCTAGAATATGTTAACATATAATCCGACACATTAAAATCGCACATGCAAGGCCACTTACATGAAACAAGAAGCACAAGCAATACCAGAAAATATACCATCGAGAACATACAGTCCCCAATAAGTTCTTCTCCAGCTTTCAGCTAATACAGAATCTCTTTCCAGTCCAGCGAAATTTTGATGATTCATACCGATCTCCAAAGCCATACATATATCCCTATCTAAAATAGCACGTGCCTTTCCTCTTTCATCTTCTGCGTGGATGGCAATGGCCAGTAGAAGCAAAGCTTGAACACTAAAGCCATTTTGTGGTAAACTCGGAAGATCTAGCTGGCTTAAAGCTATAGCTCTGAATTCTGCCGATGGGAGATCAGGTGCATATAGTGATCCAATATATTGCATGACTGGTAAAAGGTTATCAAGTGAGTCTGGATCAGATTTCAGTCTACCCAGGAAATGAGGTTTTGGAATGATATAAGGATGGGCTTTGTGGAAGAAACTATCGAACCATCAGTGATAGAATACGTTGAGGAGTCAAGATTGACTAACTTGTAGTAAAGATCGATCAATCTTCTTGAGTCCACAGGCTTAATACTGTCTAGTCGTGAAGAAGAGTTATTTGGGCTCAGGGAAGCATCAGAAAGTGCGCCTGTCCATAATTCACTGGATGAATTTCCAACATGACTTTCCTTTGGAGTAGAATATCCTCCTTGTTCTGTTCGAACGGAACGTCCTCGAGACTGCTCTTTCGCCGAGTTTCTTTTTCGAGGAGCATTCTTGTCTCGCATGCCTCTTCGTGACTTTGCATAGAAGCATGGCTTATCATCTTGCTGACAACGACTGCACGAAGGCATTTCTGCTCCGCATTTTACATGACGACTCCGGCACTATTCAATGATTAGTACACCAAGGGGTAAAACAAAACCTTTACATACCGGCACGCATGCTAACGAGACCCTGATACCACCTCTAGACTCGTGACTTTGGGTCGTGTTTTTATAAGTATTCTGGGCTTCCTGAACCGGCGTTCCAAAGTCAAAGAACATTGCCAGAGGATCTTCTAGTACTCTCGGGGATGGAAATGATGATTCGAATCCCGCAGAATCCATAATTTTGGTGATGAGGCGAATGCTCGGGTTCTAGGATTCTCGGGTTGTAGAGTATTCCGATGGAGCTACGCCGTTTGAAAATATAGACTAGATGGAACCTCACAAGCTACACAGATTATACTGTAGTACGCTGTTTACAAGTTGAGAGTTGGTGTGGCAAGCTGATAACATTGATAAGTAGGCCATAACATATTCTTAAAAACAATTTCATGGTTGAAGAAGATTGGTTGCGTATGATGTGATCCCCCAGCTTGAATTGACCCTGGTTCCACTTCCATGTCCTGTTTGATGTAAGCAGAATGAAGCTCATGTCAGCAAAAAGTTCGAGACTAGAAAGTGATCAACCGGCTAGATCAAAATAGATCGGGAAGTCGCAAGGGATGAGTGGGTTCTGGCCATTCATGCAATGCAATAAGAAACAAGCCACCTTGAGGGATTGCTATAAATCTGCATCCGCTATCGCTCTACAAGCGAATCATTTCGTTTCTTGTCCTGTTACATTGCATCAGGTATGGAGTGTACTAGACCTAAAGCGGTTTGAGAGAAGTAGTGGGAAATTCCCGGCGATAACTTGGTATCCCCACGGCCGTGGTCGCTGCTCCTAGTAGTCATGTGGTCACATTTATCATGCGACAATGATATGTATGTACTAGTGATGACATGGCCTACGAGAACTGGGGATCTGGGGCATAGCCGAATGCGAACTCGAAAACGTAAACTACCTTTTCCGCACAGGATGATAGCATAAACACTGCCGATAACCATCTTTTTTTTCCTTCATCGAGATGAGCTATGAGCATTGAGATGAACGACATGGGTTTTGCTTTAGGTGACGTAGTTGCGGATTAGCACGAAGCCAATGTGGTAAATATACAGCCATCTTCAACCAACTGAATACAAATCTAATGTGATCGAATGCAGGTTTATAGGGTAGAGTCAGACCTATTTCAAGATGTTCAAGATTGTAAAGAATACATCTCGTGAGCCTTGACATGAATAGAATAATATCTGATCTCAGGGGCTTCTTTGAAGTCGGAGCCACTTTCGAAACACTTGGAGACACACCACTTGGTAGACCATTAACTTAAAGAAAGATAGTATGCGAAAGGATTCCTTAGCCTTCAGCCCTGTAGCAAACTCGACGGCGGGGTCGCGAGCGGGAATGCCCGAGGATACAATGCATGACATATAAAGAGTAAGCTTAAGAAGAGTTTCATTAGCCATCCCGCCATGTTTATGGGGCTTTCAACGGTGGAGAGGTACAGTATTCAGATCACAAAAAGAAAAGTCAAAATCATTATCAGGCAGCAACTCTGTTGGCGGTGAATATCAGGTCAGCATATTGAAGCTAATGCAGTAACATTGATTGAGTGTGTAGAATGAGGATTCGTCGGAGAACGAGAGGTACCTCAAAAGAGCGGAAAACGAGCAACTTGTGAAGGAAGGTAGAGCATTGCCAGGGAAAAACACTCTACAAATGGAAACGTAACGAAATGTGTAAGATCTTATCTCACGAATTGTGGATTCCTGCTCGTGAGTGGGTTGAGTTCATAACGATAGAGTGTGTAAATTGGGATATTGATAGTATGTGGCTGCTTGTACACCGGTCAGCTTACATTCTAGTATTTTAGTAATCACTTTGGCTGTGTGTCATGATCCCAAGTTGACCAAAAAAACTGGTGATCTATTACGATGATACCCTTGGGTATTTTAGCGGAATTTGATAAACCAATCCGGTGGTATATAAAAATCAAGCTTCTGAGATTGTGGAGGAAGTCCATGTCGGCAGCCCAAGGGATCCTTGACGCCGATGCGCTTAAGACAAGTTGGATTCTTCTTTGAGGCTAGCCATTAGCAGTTTTAAAAAAGATCTGCAAGACAATGTTATAATGGGTTATGATGGCATATCCAAAGCCAGAGAGCATGGATGACCCGAGCTGTAGACATGAAGGGCAGACAGCGAGTAAATTTATACTGGCGTACGCGTATTCATATGCAGAGGAAGGATTGACATAAACTACCTAGTAGTCACACAGCATATTGCTGATTGTGGATCGGAAGAACACATCCAGAGGAAAGAAACCGGAGAAGAAACCTTGGGGAAAAAAATCAAAATAAGGATAATCTTTTGCATTTCAAAACACAAAATCATAACAACTTTTTGAACTTTGAGAAACGTGCCACGGAATGACTAATTTAGTAATGTTCTAGAATTCCACAGGAGCTTCCGCCGCTAATCTACATTAATATTAGCGTAAATCCCCTGGAAACGGAAGGTCGGAAAGTACCTCGGCATTCACATCAACACAAGCTTCCAAGTTCATGACCCCTGCATTCTTACTATTTCACACCAAATCATATCACCTTTCGATTCATACGAATAAACTTCTGAAAAGCATAGTGACGATATACTTTGATGCTCTTCCGATGACATCCAACGATTTTATTGTCGCGCAACAGCGCGTTGCCGCTCGTCGTCAAGCTCGTGAAGTAGCTGCCCAAACTCACCTGAATCGTCGACGCAACACCGCCATCTCCCAGCGCGTTTCCTCCCTTCCTTTCCCCTTCTCACGAATAGGTACTGCAGGTCTCACAACATGGGATATGATATCGGGGCGCGAAGGAACTCGTCCTTCTTTTCGAGTCGGTCAGGTCGATGCTGAGTTATTGGATGAGGAGTTGTTGGATTTGTTAAAAGGGCAAGTGGGTGAAGGTCTAAAGTATTTCGGAACTCATATACAAGATGATTGGTCTGCGGAGATAATGTTAGCACTAAGAGCTATTCTTTTCAAACTCAGTATTTGGGATCATGATGCTACGTATGGGGCTACATTGCAGAATTTAAAATTCACCGATGCGCGACACTCAGGATCCGTTTTGGTATCTCCATCGAAATGGCAGAAAGGTTTATATGGTCTTTTCACTGTAGGCGGGAAGTATGCCTGGACACGTTGGGAAAATTACCTGGTCGATTCAGACAATGGATATAATACACCCTCGCCCCTTATTAGTCGACTCTCCCGCATTACCGACCTCTTAACAAATGTCCACTCCACCGCCGCCTTCGCATCCTTTCTCGTATTCCTCGTAAATGGCAGATATCGTACGTTACTGGATCGAGTTTTGAGATTGCGACTAGCGCCACCTACCAGCCAGGTTAGTCGGGAAGTATCATTCGAATACCTCAATCGCCAACTTGTTTGGCATGCATTTACCGAATTCCTCCTTTTCGTCCTCCCGCTTGTAGGAATCTCTCGCTGGCGACGCTTTCTATCACGCTTTTGGAGACGTACAAAATCACTCTTCAATACATCATCCACCGATGAGCTTTCCAGCAGTACAAAGAAAGGCGAACTTGCTTTCCTACCCGAACGTACATGTGCTATATGTTATCATGATCAAAATGCTTTACAAGCAACAGAAGAAGGTGTTATGGCCGCAGCAGCTAGTACTGGTGTGATAGGAAGTGCGCAAACCGATATCACAAATCCATATGAGACAGTGGAATGTGGCTGTATATACTGCTTTGTATGCATAGCTAGTAAATTGGAAGCAGAAGAAGGGGAGGGCTGGACATGTTTAAGATGCGGCGAAGAAGTAAAGAGATGTAGAGCCTGGAGTGGAGATGTAGTGGTTGAGGCAAAAGCCATAGAAGATAAGGAAGAAAAACCCAGGGCAAGAAAGAGTGTGGAATTTCAAGACGACAGGATGAAAATGAATCCGACATCTTATGCAGAAGACACAATCACAGATCACGATACCAAGAAAACCGAAGACGGAGATTCATCAGATCATGATTCTCAATTGGGTCAAGAAGAAGCATATGATGAAGATGAAGATCAGGGATTAGAGGAATATGAGGATGAATACGAAGATGAGTGAGTGAGTGATTGGATTCTAGTCGAGCTGGAAGTTGCGCTTGAACTTGCAGTTGAAGTTACGGTATGCTTGAAATTATGTTTTGAGATTTCTTCTTCGTGATGAAGATTTGCGCTTCGCTTCGCTTGATCTTAATCTTAATCTTGATATGATACCAGTAGTAATGAATCGAATGGATGATGTACCTAGTAATCTGGCGTTTTGGGAGATTTTTACAGGAAAATAATGGGTTGGAATGGGTTGGCGTGCAATGGCATAGCATGAGAACAGATAGTTACCTACCTAAAGAAAAGATGGATGCATTTAAGATGAAGATGCTACATGCCATCAAGAGATAAAAATCCATAGAAATACCTAATCTTATCTTTATTAATGAATACCTAGGTTTCATCACAATTCGTTAGTTACCTACCTGGTAGGCATCTATTGTTCTAATTCAGATAAATCTTTAGATGATTGTGAATGTATTGCTAGTCACTCGTCGTTCTTTTTTTTTCAAATATGAAAGTTTTGTCTGATTAAATAGGTAGGTCTAACTTCGCTCGCTCACTCGCTCGCTGGAGATATCCCTTCTCTTCTCATCTTCATACTCGTATCTCTGGGAACTGCTGAATTCATGCGTTGGGTATGGGTATCGCTATCGCTGTTCGTTTCGTCAAACGCGCCATGTATATCTTTTCTTTTCGTTTTTCTTCTTCTTTTTGGCTTCCGTCCATTTTTGATTTTCGCTTTCGTTTTTGTTTCCATTTATAACATAACATAACATAACATCCATCCCATCATATTATCGCTGTGCTTCATGATCATATTTCATTTTCCCAGCCCGCATGTTCCTTTTTACTCATTCTTCACTTACTTCTTGATCTCACACCATTCTCAGTAGATGTTCCCTCCAACATCCAACTCAAACCTTTGACTCAAACCTCTCCTCCAACTGCACATCCCTCATCTCCATATCCCCTACCCGCACCCCCCCTTTATAAAACTCCCCCATCCAGCCCATCTTCACCTCAGTCGCCCATCTCCTCAACGCCACCACTCCCCTCACCACACAAAAAACCACACAAATCCCTACCGCAATCCCAAACACATACGCGGCCACCATACCATTTTTCGACACCCGCGGATCCAAAAATGAATAAACATATTGATGTTTCGTCGCGACAGTTATATATGCCAATCCCAGATAACACGCCAGAATCACAATCAGCCAGAAGAGATGAATCCAAGGCGGGGGAGCGCTACGCGTAAGTAGGATTTCAATCAGTGCGAAGAGTGAATTGAGTCCGTGTTCGGAGACGTTGGACCAGGCGTCGAAGCGTTGTGGGAACCAGCCGCTGGGGACAACGCCTCGGAATATTACCCCCCAGTAGACGATGGTTACTAATGGTGGGTAACACATTATGGTGCTGTTGTATAGAGCGTGGAGGGCTTGTAGCGGACGCGGAAAGCGCGACAGCAGGGGTGTTCCGCTCCGCGCATATGTAAAGGTGTGGACGGCGGAAATGGCAAAGTAGAATGCTAGGCCCCAGTAGCAGAGGACTGTAGTAGTTAGTTTATATGTATGGATTTATGGAATGTACAGGATGTAACTGTGAATTGCGACTTACTGGTGAAATAGGAGAATTCGAATCGCGCGGCTGCGGTGCCATTGGGTATCCTGGCTATCTCCCAGAAAATAACAAAGAGGAGAACGAAAAATGTGTAGAGTGACTATATTGTATCATTTTGCCATTAGCGATTTATTTCTCGTGTGTAACCTTACATATTCATCAATCTCTTCTCTTTCCTCATTTCTCATTTTTCATTTCTCATTTCTCATTTCTCCTTCATCAGGAAAACAAAACTTACGATACTCGCCCTAACCACAAAAAGCGCCCAAGGAGATAACAACCAAGAAGTCTCGAACCGATGAGTCGGGTCCCATACATCAGTGCCGAATTTAAACATCATCTGAAGATTGTTTGTCATGATTGATTAATGAAGAGATAGATGATTGATGATTGATGATTGGTGAGATTGAATGAATGGATGATTCACCAATTGTGTAGGTAATCGTATGTACGTACTCTGTAGGTACAGTACAGTAGTGTTGAATAAGATCGATACCTCGGTTGTAACTTTAAAAAAATAAATTGTAAGATTATAGGTAGTAAGATCTTACAAGAGCGATGCTCGTGCAGTCTAGAAATATCGTACCGAATAATAGGTAGGTAATGTAAATCAATGAACCAACTTCTTCCCACAATATATCGATCGCAAATACACCTCTCTTCGATATTTTTCATAAGATGAAAAGAAAGACACAATGCAATCAATATCCGCTAGCTATAGAATAGGGAGAGAAGTAAATCTTCAAGCCCTTTGAATTTTGCTTCGTGCACCCCCTCCCCCTGTCCTAGTGTGCATGAATTTTGGGGTACGATGTAGCGGCTGGCTTATCCCTGTATTGTGACGAGATAGGTACTCAATGCCGATGGTAGTGCCGATCGAATGTGGAATGAGATTGGATTGAGGATGCTTTTTGATATGTATTTTCATGCTTAGGTACCTAGTATGTAGGTAGGTAGCTAGCTATTGATTGATGGTGAATGATTGTTTATTTCTAGTTTGTTAGATACCTAGTTATGAGTTTTGTAAATGGAGGTAATGAGATGGGGTCAAGTATTTGGAGTACTAAATAATTTCTCAAGACTAAAGTACCAAGTAGGTTTAAATGGAAATACTACTACTTCGATTAAACTACTTCCCTTAGGAACTTCCTCTGCCCCATACTATCACTGCTTTACAGAGTACCTAACATCAAATACCTTAAATACCTACCTGCTAGGTACCTAGCCAATATAAACTTACATTTTCAGTCCCTATGACCACAAGATGATATCAGCGAACTTGTGGGGTTCGATATTGTCAGATCTTATAATATTGAAATAATAACCGATTCTCTCATCTATCGATTAAAGATTTACCAATAGTTCAGAGGAGATATTGGGAATAGACTCTCTTCTTGAGACCATTCCAATGTCTTCCCCAATCTGAATCATGCAATAAAAATGGCTCTAGAAAAGGTTAAAATGCCACTTACCAGATGAACAAATGACGCAGTCATCGTCAAGATGGGTATATCCTAATGTCGGAGGGGACTGCTTGGACGATTTGCAATGCTTCACCGACTCAGATCGGACGAGTATCTTGGATACATACGTGCGTCTTATCTCACCCTGATGTTTATGTACGTACATCGTATGTGCCCAGTTATCTTAGGGGATCTTCGTTTTGAAAAGGCTTTGCTTCTTTTGCACTGGTCAAAACGAAGCCAAAGTTTTAGCGCTAAACACAAGGAGCGGAGGACGGTCGACCTGAAAGATAGTGCTTCCAGAGGGAAGATGTTTCTTCAGAGCTCAAAAGTTCTCAAAGTCAATGACCATGATCTTATCCTCTTCGTTTGTAAAAAAATTCCGTAATTTTCACCTCTTCGACCTCTGCCGATGTCGGTAATCGAACCACATATCTCGGTGTGAATTTATTGAATTGAAGCTCCCTTAAGTATCTCAAAATGTGGATTTTCGTAATTAATGAGGCAATGAAGCTCCAGATCTTCATATCAGGTTGTTTGTATTAGGCTTGATCGGTATAAAGAGTTGTGGACATTGACACAGTAATATTCGGTCGGCTTTGAAGAGCGAGATGTGGTCAATGTTTGGCCCGTGATGCCCGTGATGCCCATGATTGATTTGCCTGTCAAATGTGGCCCACCGTCAACCCAATATTGTCGGAGAATAAACGTTCGAATGTCTTGCATTCTGCTGCGCAATATCGAAACTTCAATTATTCATTGCCGAGATGAAGGTAGTTGAAAACGAATATGTATTTCAATACCCGAGATGTAATTGAACCCTCAGAATCAAACGGTAGATGAGATTTTGATAATTTTGTATGAGTACTGATCAACCATGTAAGTAAGTGAAGACGAATCAGGGGTAGATTACTGTAGTTGACTTTTTCACGCCCATCTCCGAAAGGTTATAATCAAAAGGAGCTTATTGACTGACTATGTGATCTCAGATCCATAGAATGTTAATGAACACCTTCAACCACCATATCACTTTGGCGATCCAGATAAGATTAATCGTATGAAGGATCCAATGAAACTTGCTGTGCCTTTTGTAACTCACATTGATGTGTCCAAGTCCATAGATAGGTAGGCTCAAGGACAAACATTTGGAAACGAATTGGTCCTTTGAGATACGACCTTTCTTTTCATCCTCTTACGACTTATACGCTTTGTGTCACCAGCTTTTCACGATTAGACCTTAAACTCTACCAGAAAGACTCGGTAACGGTTGCAAAATTCTCGAAAAGGCCTTTCCAGTGATGATATAGATAGAAATTAGCATGGATCTTCATCCAAATGCAGTAATATGTCAAGGATGTATTCCGGGGACTACCCAAATTAAGACGTCTGTGAATGTCTGTGTGCACACACATTTTCCAAGCCGGTGGATACTCAGTCACAAAAAGCTTATGGTAGAGTAGGATTTCGTGCCTCCTTTTTCCTGTGATACATGCAAACATACCTCGGCAAGCATTGAATTTTGGTGTTGAAAAATGCTACAGGTAGATAAGGTTCCATAGTGCATAAGATTCGAAATACATTGTGAGTAATGGATGTTTGAGAGTAGGCCGCGTTGCTGTGAGAGAAATCGATGCATTCGGTATCCTCTCCTCCCCTCTCCGCAATTTTCGGCGATCCGCGGAGTGTGCACATTTGCGATACAGGCTTACGAATTTGTCGCTCCGTGGATAACGGGGAAAGGGTAACAGAGGAACGATGTGGCTTAACGTGAGCGTTTCCCGTAAAAGCAAGTCCTCTCCTCATGTCGTCCAATAATCTTTCACATCAATGCTGAATTGAGCACAGTAATCCTTGAATCAGTCCATCAGTTGCTCCACCCCAAAGAATAAGCCAGACCTCTTATGAACTGGCCATGCAGATTTCGCGCGTGTGGACATTGGATCATTGAGTGCAAAGTGGGAGACAAGATAGATGGGGCTCTGAGCAGTGAACGCTATGAGCAATGAACAAAACGATCCAGAGTCTTTCATTTCTCTCATATTTCTGTCTCCATGAGCACGCACTCCCTCGAAGCAAGACGTCGACCCGATTCAATAATATAAGGGATACATCGGCTAGGGAGTAAATGTTAAATAAATTGTAAATGTCATGGATTGACCAGCTTAAGCAGTTTGATCTAGACAAATGAATGATATAGATAAATAGATAGTTTGGGTCTGATCTATTAGAGTAAACACCACTGGTGCACCTACCTGGTATCTAAGCAAGTGATTCGAGCCAGTGCCAAGTCGTACAATCCAGGGGAACCGTTGAAATGATACAAGATGATTTTCTCACCATATGAAAATCATTTATTGATTTTTATATTATTATTCCCCCATCAAGAAAGTTAATCATTCGAGAATCTTGCATTCAAACGGTTTCTCTCTCTCTCCGTGATGGTTTATTGGTTTATTGATTTATTCAACTGGAAGAGAATAGTAAACAGGAATAAATGGCTGTGTAATATGTAATAATAAATACTATCTACTTGAGTACAATATACTACCTAATCCTCATCCCTCCTCATCCATCTTACCTCTTCCCCTCCAAGATCTACTGAACCGTTAGTGTACTATCAAATGAATGGTTCATCGTGCACAACCAAATTCATCGAGGGTTTTCTTTTTCCACCACAAGGTCATTTACTTTTTCCAGTCAAACGCACCCTGTCATCACGGTCATCATAGTCACCCGCCTCTTGTTCCGCTGTGAAAGGTACACTCATCTACCTACCACAAGTATACCGACGTCGGGAACAGAAAAGTCAACAGCATCCAGCATCCAGCCAGCATCCGCCATCTACCATTTACCACACGATTCACTATCCCGCCGGTCCTCAAATCTTACATTCCTTGCTCGTCTCCCGTTTACTCTGTCTCTCCCATATTATTATTATTTTTTAGCTCGCGACATCCAAAACTTGAAACGAAACCTCCACATTCGAAAATCGAAAAAAAGTCGATCCTGTCCCGCGCATGGTCCCCTTGACTCAAAAATAAATAATGAAAGGATGAACCTGAATTCATACTAAAATCTTCTTCGCTTCCCTCAGAGCCTCCTTGTGCGACAACCTTTTCCGCTTCCAACCCGTTTCTTGACGCTACTGCAACAAGTAGACACAGACACCTCCTCTACCGTCTACCCTCTGAAGGGGGAGGGTGGACTAGCTCATTGTATGATTTGGATTGACACAAGTGGGAAAGCTTACCGTCTCTGTCTTGCTGTATTGGGTGAATCGGAGGTTTTGATCACCTTGATCATTCGACTTGTGGACTTCTAGAAGCCTGTCGTGTACCTCAATCGTGCGCACTGCATCGAAAGTATATTACCTCATCTACAATACCAAGAGTCCGGTCAATATTCACATGCAGCTAGGATACGCTCGATTCACTCAATCCATGTAGCACAATCAATTCTTGCATAACTCTTCAGTAGGCAAGGCAGGCACTAGCAATAATGGCTTTTTACGATTCCTCTTCTGACCAAGATGTCGCCGATGGCTTTCCGATTATTCTCGAACCTGATGATGATTCACTTTTCGACATGCGAGGAGACGATACGAGGCTAAACAACGATACAATGAAAGAGGTGCACCAAGTTAAAGAAATCAAGAAAGTCAAGGAAGTTCCCAAAAATGCCATGGTTCCCAAGCATCCAATAAATTCCATGCAAGGTGCCTTTGCAGAGTCGATGGAAGAGGCTAGCGACACAACCCGAACAGCACCCAAAATCGGCGACGCAGCCACCCGACGAAAGATTTTAATCGAACAAGATGTGTCCGAAGATACGCATTCTTTACGATGGCAGAGGCAGCCAGATCAAAAATATCATGAATTGTGGAAGTTGATGGCACAAATCTCCTTTGGGATTTATCTACTCCTCAATGGAATCGCCAGAGATGAAGAGCAAGTTATGTCGATATTGCAGGGTCATGTAAATGAGGTAGATGGATTCTTGGAGATGACGTTGGAGGATTTCGATTTGGCACAAAGCGATATCGAGGAGAGGTTAAAACATTTGAAACTTCCATTGCAGAACATCACCATTTTCGATGCTATGTTGGAAGACCGAGCTTTCAGATCGCAAATCGTCAGTGGCAATGAACGCATTGAGCATGTTATTACACGTACGGCCGCTGCCATGAAAGACACTCTTCTCGATGCGCAACAAGGAATGGATGCTTGTAAGGAATTCACTATATACTTGGCAGGGCAGAAGGATAATATGACATGGCGACAACAACGACCGAATATGGAAAGGGTCTTTGATGCGATGTGTGGAAATGTGGAAGGTTGGCACAAGGCTTACGTCTCATTGCAAACCAAAGGCCATCACCTTGGAGTTGCCCTTGTTCAATTGGGAACCATTGTGGCAGAGATGGATCGGAGGGCTGGTCGTGTAAGTCGGGAGTCGAGGGTAAGCTTATGAGATCTGTTTATTTTATTCTTGGTTAACAATATGTAGTTCAGTGTTTCGTCTCCAGTACAAGCCCAAAGTCCCCCTATATCTCGCAACCTTCGAGCATCCATGATAAAAGAACTTCCTAGCGATCCAAGCCCTATTACCCCAGCGATTTCGGCTACATTGCCAGCATTTTCTTTAGTACAAGACCGAGAACGAACACCCGAACCAGAATCAGAGCCAGAATCAGAGCCGGAATCAGAGCCGGAAGC